ATTTGAAAGAATTATTGATGAAGTGAAAGAAAAGGGTAAATTACTAGGTGAATCATCCAAGTTTAGTAAAAGTTAACCTTGTTTTCTAGTTTCCATATTGTTATGATTATGACATAATGGTTTCAATAAGATCAATTTAGTCCTTGATTTTAGTAATTGAATATATATAATGGCTCCATAAGTTTTTAGTTTTATCAATTTGGTTTCCAAATTTTTAATTAGATTCTAATAAGTTATTTTTTTTATGGCAAGGAAAATTATTGGAAGTCGTATTTTTACGATAAATTATCTGTGTTCGTTAGAAAAAGATTGGAAGCTAGAAATAAAGTTGGTGAGCTGGAATTTAAGACTAATATTAGGGGTTTTGTTGATATTTCGATTTTGAGGTTCGTTTCACCAAATTCAAACCCGGTAAGTTGTTTTTCACTGATTAATCATTCGATTCGATCCGTTTTTCGGAATTAAACCTCGTTTTTTATGAAATTTATATTGATATGTATCTGAGGAATTATTGGAAGTTGAATTGAAGATCAAAGGCGTTCGAATGGAATTTTTATGGTCGATCAGTATTGCACGGAAATCGAGGTAATACTTTACTACCTCTTTATGCTTTATGGAACATGTTGATATTGGTAAATGCATGAATAAGATAATGTTAGTTTTATTTGGAAATTATGGATAACCGGTTTTAATCCTATGAGAGTTTGTGAAGGAATCATTTCAAAATCAAAGAATGTTCAGGAAAGCAATTGATCATAGGATCTCTAAATTATAATTATTTTCGTTAAGAGCTAATATTGAAATTATCTGGTTAAGAAATTACGAAAATGCCCTTGAGGGATAAAATAATCTGAATTGACCCTGAATGAGAGAGTACTTTGAGGATTTGTACTTAACTCGATTAAGTACGAATTTAATTGTTAAGATCCTGTCTTTGTACAGAAAAATTTATAATATTCCGTTTGTAAAATCTGAGAAGACACTTGACCCGAAAATATTCGAATAAGGAGTAAATATTTGAAGAGTAATTTATCGGAGGTATTCTGCTGACAGAATTGTTCGAAAGGACTGAAGTAAATGATAAGATTGAATTAAATAATAAGACCGGATAGAAGGAAATGATTGAAATATTCTAGAATTATAAAATGACCAAATTACCCCTGGAATGGAAATGACTCAAGAATGTCACCAAGCTCAGGAATGAATGGATATACTCAAGCTTTGAAATGAATAGAAAAAAATGTTAAGCACAAAAATAACCAAAATGCCCTTATGACCTAGAATAAGTAAATGTCTTGGATTAATTAAGAAATCCAAATAAACATGGATGTTGTACTACCAGTAAAAGTTGTGGAACGCAACTTAAGTGATTAACCAACGTTAGTACTATATCATTACCTGAATGATATAAGTATCACTTGAATGATTGTTCATCTTCTCAAATTTGGATCGATGATAATTCTGGAAGTACTTGGCGCAGCTCAACTCTAGAGCGCATACAGTACTAATAAGTGGGTAGTCGTTAGTCAAATCAACCACGAATACCAGAATGACTTTATTATATGAATAAATTGAAATGAAATGAAGTACAACCTGTATTTGAAATTCAGAAACGTCTGAATTATTCTGGAAAACTTTAAAGTAATCGGGATAGACTTGCTTACCAACGAACTAAGTAACATCAATGACTAAGGATTAAATAGGTGATTTGATGAGTTTGGAAACACTGTTGAACTTACATGATGAATTGTCATTATGGGTTATGAGCCATGGATCAAGTACGTCAGTATTTTCTGATATTGTTGAAACATGGAAATGAAATAAAGACCGTTGGAAGATTTATTCAGTGATGATTATGGGGATGATCTATGGATCTGCACTATGGTATTAAAGAGTGAATACACTGGAAGGATAATGAATTGACTTGTTGACATGCATCAGTTTGAGAGTTGTGTAACTCGAGTTGTTTGATAATATGATCGATAGTCGTAGATTGTAAATGACTTGAATCTTCGATTCTATATTTCATCTAAAATCACTTCGGTCATGTGAAAAAAAAAACAAGTAACGCAGATGGAAAAGATTCTGAATATCTCATTTGGTTCAATTGGGCTGAAATCCTATGAATTTAAAGTATATTCCTGAATACCCCTGATTGTTTGGGTAATGGAATCACTCGCAGTAAATCTGAATTTAGAATTATTATGTATAAAGGTTCCTGAACGTTTTCCTAAAGCACACGAAAATATAGTGGGATTCTAATGTATCAACATTAAATGTCTGGCTAGATCGGTTAGTAATCGATTCTCCTCAATAGGACCTTGTTCCAGGAATTCGTTCAAATTTCATAAGTTTCATGTTATCCAAAATGATAACTACAATGGCCTCTGGAAATACTTGGATTCTCTAGTGTGTTCCCTACTTATTACTGAACTGTTTTATTGGTTTTAATATGTGGTACACCGAATTCATTGGTTATTGTTTTATGGATGCACCAATTTTATGTGACAATTTATGGGATATGGCTGCTATCTAATTTTTGTTTTGAAATGGTATATGATTACCATGTTTTTGGATTTATGGAATTTATGTCACGGTGCAATTGAATTTTGGAATTGAATTACGATGGAATAGCTCTGATCAAGCTAAATGGGCCTAATGTGACTCTTGAGGGCCCCAAGATGTTTCATTAGGTCGGCTTTCCTTTGCTGTGTGCTTAGGGTAAGCTATATGGACTTATTGACTTGGGCTTAAGGATACAAGCTTCATAGCCTATCCTTAAGTCGGCTTTCTTTTTGCTATGTGCATAAAGTAAGCTATATGGAAAATAATTTTTGGGAACTACTGATGGTGTACCAGAAAAGGGTTTAAACTATGATTTTCAAAAGTTAAACTCTTTTACGAAATTGTGAGATTTACTGGACTATGATTTGTACCTATTATGATTTTATTATACTGTTGGAACACACTAGACATCCTATTCGATCTCCTGAAAATGTCATACTTTGAAAGGTTTCTTATGAACTGAGATTCATGGCTTCTACTCGATGAACTTCTAAGGGAACCCCAAATTATTCTACAAGCTGGTATACGTATGATTCAATAAGGAAATTATATGGCTTTCCATTTATCTACATGTCATGTAGCATCATCTGGCAGTTCTGTATTACTGAGCTTTCCAAAGCTCACTCTATTACTCACCTTTTCAGGTTAAAACAATTGTACCAGTGCATCTATCGACTTCAGTAAGGGAGTTCTTCCGGCGTGGTTGCAGAGTATGGTACTTGTGATTAGGGGGCATGTAATTGTATTTTGATTTATATACGAGTTTGGAAATCTGTTTTATTTTTAAATAGTGATAAATGATTTTATAAGTTTACATGTTCTGATAAAAAGTTTTAAAATTTCTGCTATTTTTACGGTGGGTCGCTCCGGTGGCCCTAATGTGACTTCCCAAATCGGATCGGGCTACCCGCATCGGTCTGAGGGGGTTACAATTTCATATCATTAAATGTTTTGATTCTTTGTAATATACTCTCTCATTATCTTCGTTTTGTTGATATTGGAAATTCAGTGAAATAATATACGAGTCTTCACTCAATTTAGATCCGATTTAGATTTCAGTATAATTCAATTCAAATTAATATAGTAAAAATCTAATTTAATTTGATACTGCTTGTCAGGTTCATCTGGTATAGCCTATAGGGATAAGTGGAGGATTACACTGAGTCGGGGATGGACACTGAAATTAGAATTTTCTTCGGTTATTTATTTATTCATCTTGAAATTTTACTTGTGTCCAATCCACATAAAAGAGTTATTAATATATGTGTGTCGATCCTAAAAAATATTTCTGAATTCGTCATTAATAGGAAATAGTTCAAATTAATTACTCTACAAATATAATTCTAATAATATGAAAATTCAAGAATTTAACTAAATTTAATTTTATTTAAATCGTTTCACTAGTATGAAAATTAAAGTAAACAATTCAATAATAAAAAGAATGAATTTCTATAATAAAAGGACCAATTAGATGCTTTCATCAAATATATTAGATTTAATTATTAGTCAAGTGAAGCCCGGTGGAATGATATATGAAATCATTGAACTTGTAAGCTAAGCAATATATATATCTATATATATTGTGAACTTTTCTGATCAGCTTCCTTGATCTCTTAATCATATTCTGGTGTGTTGTCTTCTAACAAAGAAATCTAATTTTACTGGATCCACTTTTCTGTTAATAATATATAGAGCGAAAATGACTTGCAAAACAAGATGAAAAAACCAGAATTGGTCCCAACATCATTTCTGTCGGTGGATTTTGATGCAAGAACTGGGATGGATGGCACACCACATCACCCATTAATAACTTTTCAATACTTTTTGTTTTTCTAACACCACCATTTTGCTTTGGTGAAGTGTATTCAAAGCCATATACATATAATGCATTCAATGTAAAAATAGATTTTAACTTGTATGTTTAATGGGGATTATATTTATAATCGCTTGAGTTTGACTTAGTATTTATAATTTTATTTAGTTAATTTTAGTCTTTTTTTAATTAACTTATGGATCAGAAGTTGAACATAATCATGTCATCAGCATACTAGTAAATGATACTTATGCCGGAGTTCGAATAACATGCAATTTAACTCTTAAATTTTCATAGGGAATTTACAAGGGGCTGTTGTATTAAAAATTACCACAAGTATATTTGGGAGAGATTATACCTTAAAAACTCTTAGTTGTTCTTTGGTAAGGCTCTTGAAGCAGGATTTTTTATCCGAATAAAAACTGGTATCCTAGACTAAGAAAGGTATATCCGTAAGCTGGAAGTAATTTCGGAAATCGCTGCACAAGTGCAAAATGAGAATCAGTTATCGGTTCTTTCAGAGTGTGAATTTACTTCAGCAATTGATATTCAAGAGTAGCTTACCAGTCTTCTGATGTATGAGTGTGTTTAGGAGCTTCATTTGATGTGATCATGAGCTACATCAGTAATCCGGTACTGCAAGTGAAACGACCTTGGTACCTTTAATCCGAGAGTCATCCTTGCCTCCCAGTTTCACAACCAATCTAGGCAAATCACTTCCGCAGATTTTTTCTGCAGAACCAATGCCCTGAGCCTTTGAGTAACTTTCTCTGCCAGTTTTTCGAGAGGGTTTATTCTGAAGTTTAGGGGATATGCCATGGCTTATTTTGGAGTTTCTTGAAGCACTTCGTACCTTTGTTGCAGCAGATGTTGATTGTTGAAGAGTTCTAGGAGGTGCCTTGTTTGAGCCACCACTTGGATTAGTGATTTTTGCTCCAGTTTTAATAGGTGCTCGTGGGTGGGAAGGTACACTTCGAGTTCGACTGTGTCTGGATTGTACCTGCATTCATCACAATTTCACATTGCTTATATACTAGATCAGCCAATTTCAGATTTCATCATAGAATTGTATGCTCTTGTGCTGGAAAAATGAAGTCGGTTTCAACCAAAATCACTTCCGATACGGAACAGGTCAACATTTCCAGAAGTAAGAACTAACCCCATTGGAAAAGGCAAGTTTTGTTGATGGCGGTCGAAGGCCTGATGATGTTTTTGTCGCAGCTGGATGAAATCCGGTACTTCCATCCGAAACTGTTCTTTTACTTTCATCAAGCGAACCAGTAACCTCAGCACCATTTCCCAATGACGGCCGGCAGGTTTGATGACTCCAAGAATCTGAACCTTGTTGCGCATCACTATCTGCAACGAGTCCTTTGTGAGAGTCAGAACCAAGGGTAGCTCTTTCAACCTTAGACCTTTTATTAGCAATAGACGTTGATGATGAAAATGATGACTCCGAGGACCATTTACCGTATGAGCTAGCAACAGACATACTGGAATGGAACTTGATAGGAGACTTCAATAAAGTTGAGAGCGCTGAAGGTCCTGCTCGACTTTTACCTGCGGCTGCACTGTTGGATGCATTGGTGGTAGTGTAACCAGAGGAAGATAAGTTAACTAAGCTGGAGTCATTATTTTGTTTAATCATATCCATGGAAGAAACATAAATCATGGAAGAGGATAGGGAAGAAGATCTGGAAGACAGTGTAGTCCTAGGCACAGTATTTCTTGAACCATCCAAAGCAGGAGTTTTTGATATTGTGGTCCCTCTGCCTACAACATCATATGGAGAGCAAATTAAACGGAAAATATAAGCAAGAAAGTGGAAATCCGTCCTAAACCTCCACAACCACATCCTTGCATCAACTATCCTAATCTAAAGAAAGTGTAGTTTGAATTACCAGTCACACTTTTTGCATCCTTTTCTATTTTGATATACTTAGCACCCAAGGAAGCCCCCTTGCCCAGTATCTTTGGTGTCTTATGAAGAGATGAAGTTGATACTCCACTTCTACCAACAGACTATAGGGTCCGGTTAAAAACAAAATCAGAATTTGCAGTGAATATAACTCATGTGGTAAAGTAGCAATAATTGGATGTTCATAGGCAGAATACTTGCCTGTGAAGTTTGGGGTCGGGCAGGAACCTTCTTCATTGTCTTCCCAGGATCTTTCACCATGTTTGGCTTCTTAGGAGCAGCTTTCTGCTTCACCTGAAACAACAATATAAAGTCATTGGAGAAATAAAACAAATGGACTAAGTAATGAAACGGGGGTGGACATTTCTTGAATCTACCTTGTCTTGATTAGAGTACTCTAACTTCGAAGCTGAAAAGAGAGGAAACGGAACTTTCAGTTTGTGATATTTCTTCAATCATAGCTAACAAGCTATTAGCTAGGTATCTAAACCAAAAATAAGAATGCTTCGAAAATACTGCGGATACAAATATTTCATGAAAAATGAATGGAGCAATATAGATAATGATGCATACTCATTTCACCTAATGCTCCATCAGATCATACATCTTCTGATCAAAGGATGAATTAATAATATCCTTTGAAGTTCTATTTTGTAGTATCAAAGCAAACCATTGGGTCAATTAAAGCTATACTTACATGACACAATCCTTGAATCTCTTGTTTCCAATTCCTTTTTAACACTAGAACCTGCATTGCCAGGCACTCTTTTAGATTTGTGGATTGAAGCTCTTCTATCCTCATTGAAATCGGCCTTGAGACCTTCCCGCCTCGAAATTTCACCGAAGGACACTGTCGATGAGTCACAAGATCGGTTCACATCCTCTCGACTGGACAACTTCTCTGACTCAAGAAAACCTATAAAACAAAATCAAAACAGGAAATTCTAGAGCCATAAAGCGTTAATTAACATCAAGTAAAAACAGAAATCCAAGAATTCGTACCTGCACTACAAAAGAAAGAGCTATCCCATGTCACACTTTTGTGTAGTTTAAGTCTTTCATTTCCTCTTGTCTCGTCTACCTCTAACTTTCCATCTAACTTTCCATATTCATCAAAACAGCCTAATCAGATTTCTATTCAATACACAATCCAGTTTTTTTTCAGATAAAAAAGAATCGATTATTGATCAATGTGAAGCTTTATTCGAAAAGTTTTGTAAAAAAGTTATCCAGAGAAATCAATGAAATGTGAAAAACTGGCACAATATCTATGAATCGGCAGCTAATTATTGTGATGAACCGAATAATTCCATTACTATACCAAAATCCATAATTAATTACCGAAAAGGAAGCTAATGCTAATTGAAATTTACATTCAGAAAAGAGAGGGGGAAAATCCACCACTGATTAATTCGAAGCTTTATTGGAAAATTTTGGTATGAAAAAAAGTAGAGAAATCAATGAAACATGAAAAATCAAGGACAAATGATGACGATGATGATAAATGGAAACCTGAGAACTGATCAATGAGAGGCGAATCAATGAGGCAATCGTCTTCTGACGAAACGTCGATGAGGCTCAATCCTTTGGTATCGAAACCGCTTTGTAACTTACGATCACGCATTTTTGAAAACGGAGATTTACAATTAACAGATGAATCAAAAGAATTTGATAATGGAGATGGAGAATTGGAGGTGTGACGAGAGCGAAGAGAGAAAGGAAGAGGAAGTTAATTTTGTTTTTAAAAAATGGGGAAATTTAGGCGGTTCAAAATTATATTAACTAATTAAAGGATTAAGAAAATTAATCATAGAGTTGAATGTAACTATCAATACATTGCGTTGTAACTTGGTGATTAAGTGATATTAGCAGTTGGATTCTCCGTTTTAATAAGATGATGAGTTCATACTTTCTTCCTTTGATGTATCACGTATCTTTTGATAGGGTTATACATGTCTTCTTTAATCCCAATCAATATTGTAAAATTTAAATCGATGATCGACCAATTTAATATTTAAATCAACAAACTAACTATATAAATCAACAATCATAATGTTATCCATTTGACTCAACAATCGACCTGTTCCAAGTCATGTAAAACAGAATGTGCATGAGAAGTTTCCTAACCGATGTCGTTACCGGAATATATTACATGCTCGCCACGAGCTCAATCCTACGATACCCACACGAGATTTAAACAGTTCTTTGAAAAATGAATCTATTCCAAAGAACATATGATAGACAAATAATACTACAAAATAATAGCTTACCAGATAAGAGGATGCAAACCCATCCGAGAAGTCGGTCCTTCACATACGATGGACTATTTGGAAACTATTTGTTGTGGTGCCGAATTATGATATAGATTGAGGATTTAGATAATGGAACTTGCAGAAGAAAGGTGTGACCGCGTGATCTCTAATCGGTGCCTTGCATTGGAACCATCATATGGGCCTGTGATAACAAGTGTTGCAGGATGTTAGAACTAACGAAACAACCCTTCTTTGGTATAATCCTCAAGATTATAAGGCAAAGGACAAATGTACTGATTGAATATGATACATCATAGCAACAACGAGCGAGCACTCAGTTCCAGAAAAAAAAAACTCAAAAACAAGAGCCAGAAACCATATACCAATGATTTCAAAAGATGAATGAAACTTGTTTTTTCGAGTAAAATGAAAAGGGAAGTGGATTTCAAAATTCGAGGTTAAGATGCTTGGTGTTGATATTACTTAGAAGCAGACAAGTTGCATGGATCACATAAGGGATCAGGACCAGCTAAGATTTCATCTTCTTTTGAGGTATAATAGACCAAAATTGCTACATTTTTTAATGGTGATAATCACTACAAAAGAAGAGTTTCTTTTCAAGTATAACTAATATTTAATCCGAACGATACTTTAAAGTGGTGTGGTCCTGTTGGCACGAACTTAGCCAGAGATGATGAAAGCACTCAAGTAAAGAAGCTGGCAGGAGTAAAAAGATGCAACTAGAAGCAAAAGCAACGGTGCCAACAGCATGCAGAAAAAATATAGAGAAATATGCCACGGTTCTTTGGTGTAAGGGTAACCAAAACCAAAGCACCATATGAAGATAGAGAAATATGTAAGAAAAAAAAAGTGTTATGCATTGACGTGTTAACAAAGCAGAGAGAGAGAGAGAGAGAGATTACTTGAGAATTCCCATAATTAACGCCTTGTGAGAATGAACCTTGATGAACAAGCTGCATAATATTTTAAATTGAAAGATCAGATCATAACATATAATTTGAGTAAGCATGAAGTTAATCTATCAAATAGATAAAGGGGGGAATCATGACACTAAAAAATATATAAATTTACAAGACTAAGATTAATAAAGAAGGTATACTCCACCTGGGCATTTGGGCTTGGTTGGACATCTTTCTTTGCAGATGCATCTCCACCTTTAGCCGAGCCCTTGGCATCACCCTGTCAATTTGCAAACAAAGCCATGTAAGAGAGGTAGCCTGGAGGAGACACTGAGAGATGATAAAATATTTAATAAAGTTGCAACAATATTCGTAGAAATCCTTGACTCACCTCCATCTACAATGTCCCAATTGACCATAAAACGCACCAGGAAGACAAAAAAAAAGTCGATCAGTTGACTGAAAACTTAGTAATAAAAGAGAATACCAAAGTATTTAATCCCTTAGTGTCGGGAAATTGCATGTAAAAGAAAAAAAAACTTAGATGTCTCACATATTTTACCATCCATAAGCTAAATTTCTTTACCAGTATTTCATATAGACTATTACCATATAGGGTGATAAACCTTTTGGTTCTAAAACGAAATTCAATGAACAGATGTATTATGTATAAGATTGTCATACTCAAATGCCCATTAAACTACAAATAAGGAAATCCAACTGAATTACTCAGGTGGCACAATTAATTAATTAAATAGGATAATAACCCTTTCTCTCTTAGATTAAACTTACAAAATTTAAGATCCGAAACTATTATGACTTTTTTTAGTTACCAAAAAAATGGAAGAGCTTGGAGATAATCACCTCTCTGTACCGGGAAAGGTAAATCTTAAGCGGGTCAATGTAATCTTCAAACCCCAAAGTCGCCATAGCCCAGAGCAGATCATCCCCGTTAACAGTCTTCCTCTTCTCTCTCCGACACTTATCGCTAGCTCTGTACATCAATTCATGACCAAATTTCCGAATTACACAAAAAATTTCACATATAGAGCTAATAAATTCAGTTAGAACAGTAAACCAAAGAAACGTACTCGCTGGTGATGAAGCTGATAAACTCGGAGACGCACTCTTGAACGGTCTCTTTAGCATCTTTAGCGATCTTGCCATTAGCAGGAAGAGCCTTCTTCATAATACGGCTGATGTTAGCGATAGGAAGATACCTGTCCTGTTCTCGCATATTGGATTTCGGGATATGATCGCCGCTCTCATGACTTCCTGCGCCGCCGGGACTCGTCGGTGCCTCGTCCATGGAGTAAACCCTAACTCAAACAAGTCACCGACAATCATAATAAAGAGAATTTAATTCAAAATCCTTCAATCTCTAAACCGAAACCCTTAAAATGATTACACAAAGAGAGAACGGAGAGTGAACTGAAGCAGGGAAACTTTACCTTAGTAGAAACGAAATTAAAATAAAGAGAAAAAGGGCGGGAGAGAGGGAGATTGGATAATGGGGAAGAAAGAGAGGGAATCCGACGCTGGAGAAGACAGGAAAGAGGAGACGACTCAGATGGAAAAATGAGTTTTATCAACACCGTTCGTTTGGGGTTCTCGATTTTCTCTATTTATTTTTGTTTTTTTATCAAACAAACTGGTCTTTTTGCACTATACTTGTATAAATTTGGTTAAAATATCATGTCAGTCCCCGAAGCATTGTAGTTAAATGTATCATGAAATTGAACAAATTGATTGATGAACATTTTTGACATTGTAGGGGGGGACAAAGCCCTTACTGGTCCCCTAGCTTCGCTCTTGGCCTATTTGATCATAAAACTAAATGGAACATTCATTAAGGAGAATAAAATTAACGATGAGCAGTACAAGACGAGCATTTCAATAACATAATGATCTGACCAATCAGTCCTGTAAAGTATTTCGTACTCTGTTCTCATGTGAAAGAAACTACTCCGATGAAATAAAAATGTCACCACCAAAACAAAAGTGATTCAAACAATCGTCTAAGCAAATTTTCTAAAGCCGAACACTAAGTTTACTGAGACACGCCCAACCACTTGGAGAAGTTCTCGAACTCGGTGTAATCACTGTCAGAGATCATGGTTTGATACCACGCTTTGCCGGCCGACTTGATTGCGGCTGCTTCCTCCTGAAAGGTCCGAGAGACGAGGCAAAAGGAAGAATAATAGAGTCAATAAACTAACATTGAAATTGAGAAAACATAAATCAAATTCCGGAAACAACTTAAATCCTATAAAGATGCAAACATCTGAACCCATAATTTGAAAACAACCATAATCATCCGAGTGAGGAAGATAACTAAAGGCTGCCATTACTTCATTTTGAACACTAACAAAAAAAAGGAGACCAATGGTGCAATCAGGGCTCATTTCGAACCAAAGGTCATGCCCAACATAAGGTGGAAATACAAATGCATAATACTCATATGGCATATGGCTTAAACTAAATGGTTCCAATCAGATAAACATATATAACAAACCAAGAGTCCTCCCACCACTTATCATTCTCTCAACAAAACATCATCAAACAATGAAAATGGAGAAAGAGTACTCAAGAATATCCATAAGTAGAACAATCATAAAGTTATCATATGAATAGCTTCGAAACATGATTCTGAACAGTTTTTGCAGCATCAATAGCACCTTATTGTATGGTACAACAATCGATCAAAGACTTAATAAGCATTAAGAAGAAAAAATGGGTTCCATTAGTCATATAAATCACAATCAAGACCAGGAAACAAAGCATCCAAAGACATGGAATAGTAACTAAAAGCACATATAATTCCATTGCATATACTATAATGCATCGGGCTAAACCACATAAAAGTGCAACTATCAAAATCGATAAATTCAAAAACATATAACCGAACCCATATACCTTAGAAATAGGCTTCCTCTTCTTGTCAAGCTTCTCCTTCTTAGCCTTAACACGTTGGGCCTCAGCCAAAAGAGACATCCTTTTAGCTGTCTTCGCATACGGGTTCAACTTCAGCATAACATTCAAGTTCTTGAGTGGATTCTTCTTCATAGGTGCCCTCTTGACCTCCTTCTTGATCGGCTTAACGACAGACTGAACCTCATCAGAGTTAATGATCCTACCAAGGTCAGCGTTCACCATCTTAGACCGAGGTAAAACGTACCCCTTCTTCTTCTCTGAAGGCTTATCAAATGACCCGTAAATTGAGTCAAGCTTCTCGTAAGCAGATTTGGTCCAGATAATGAACCTTCCAAGGTGTCCACCAGGAGCGAGTTTCAACAGATTAAGCCTCTCCACATTGACAATCTCGACACCAGGAATGTTTCTGAAGGCTTTAACGAGCTTTGACCCTTCGGTTCCGTAAACAATCAACGGACCTTTTCGAGAAATGTACCTACGGTTCCTCATTTTTCCTTTTCCGGGTCGGATCCCTTGGCTGTCCTTGGCCTTTTCAACATCCGGATACGCTCCAACCTGTTTCAGAACCTTAATTGCAGCTGACGTCTTCTCCACGCTCTCAACAGCGTCCGATATGACCAGAGGCATCTCAGGGACAGCCTCAATGCGGTGACCACGCGCCATTACGAGGGAAGGAATAGCAGAGGCAGCAATGGCAGAGGCGACGGCGTACCTCTTCTGGTTAACATTGATTTTACGGTGCCAGCGGCGCCAGATCTTGGTAGGAGCAAACATACGACCACCACGACACATGTTTCCGAAGGCACCTTGGCCGGCACGGTGGGTACCGCCACCCGGAACACGCGGGATACGTGAGACGGCGCGTCCGGTTCCCCACGATTCAGCTGAAGTTTGATGACCAGCACGCTTGGAGACGGCGTAGGGTTGGCGGCGGTTCTTGGATATGTTGTCGTGGACGAAGGTGACGATGTCGGGTCGGATCGAGGCTTTCATGACATCAGCCAGAGGGACAGTAGGGGCAGCGTCGGTGGCCATATCGGATCCTATGGTTTGCACCGAAACCAGAGGTCGGGCGGCGGCGGCTGCCATTCAATTAATGTCGTGGGAGAAAGGGGAGACGAGGAAATGAAGTAAAATGCTATAAAGTGAGCACTGAGCAGCAGCTAGGGTTTTGAGTAGTGTGGATGTGTTTAGTAAATATGATATGGTTCGGGTTGTTTGGATACTGGAAGTATTGTATTCCATTAGTGAATGGGCTAATCTGGAACAAAGGCCAACTTATGGTCGTAATTTTATTGGTAATGTGCTACGAAAACAAGAAAATCGAAAAATTGATTCAAATCATAATATATGATTTAATTTGATTTAAAATTTTCATTTTATAGTTCGGTTGAAGTTCGAATCAGAATAACAAGAGCAAAACAAGTTAAGGTGCTCGAGATGAGGTTAAGTACCTTGAATGCAGAGATTGATAAAAGGCAGGTGGATGTGGATACCGAATAGCAAAAAATCATTCACTAAATTAAGGTGTGAAGCCACAACCTCAAAGGCAACTTATTTTAGACTAAAAGTTTGTGATAGTGAATCTCATGAATAGGGATAGATCGACCGTTCCCGTAAAAATTTTAAATTTTTATATATTTTATTTTTTATTAAAAATATATTTTTATTTTTTTAAAATTTTATAAATTTATTAATACTTTAAAATTTTATAAGTTCATTTTGGTAGCAAGAATATTGACATGGCATTGGCCTCCACAAATAATAACGTTTTTGCCAAGCCAGCGCTTTTAAAGAATAAAGTCATCCACCCCAACATGACGCATTATCTTTCAACAAAATTGGGCTCCTCATCTGCCAACCACAGTGTTAATGGAAGTTCCACTAAACTCGTTCAAATAAATAATTTTTTAAATAAATTATATTTTACTTATTCAATTAAAATTTTGTTATAAACGGGTTATTTTGTCATAAATTTGAAACAAAGTGATATGATATAATGTTTTTAGAATAAAAAAATTAAATTGATAAAAAATTTTAAATATGAAGGGTTGAATTTGTTGAATAAAGATTGCCATAACGTTCCCCCCAACACTTCAACGACGGGCGAGAATCGGTTTGACTAAATTAATTCGAGAAGAGATGGTGAAATTTAGGTTTGAAAATAATTTGATTTTGGAGTCACCGTCAACCTTTGGATTAAATAGGTCGAACACCTAAAAATATCTTTTTAATTAATTAAAAAATCATTAAAAGACAAAAAACCGTATGTGTTTTAGCAAAGATTCATTTTTCAAGAGTTTGAGAGTTGATTATGCATGGAGAAGTAAAAACACCTTCGCAGCGCCCAACTTGGTACCCAAACGATTATATGTTGTCTAAACAATGGAATTGTAAACTCGAATATATATTTAAATTGTGATCCACTCATTCATTCGAATTTATTTAAAAGGATGTCCTTTCGATTCAAGAAAATCAATAGAGATTGTCATCCTTTAGAGTTAGGATATTAATTTGTCGTTTGTCCCAAACCAAAACAACATTGCCTTTGAAAATAAGAAAATAAGAATATGATGACAAATAACAAATGTAGTGGGTACAAAAAATTATAGAGTGCAAATATATTTTTATAGAATAAAACTGTTTATTTATTCTAACAAATTTATTATTATTTTAAAAGAGAAACCACGTCATTTTGTACAAACAATTTTTGAAAATGCACTCCCTCTATAGTTGAGAGACATTTTCATCGATTCCCCTCACAAGATGTTTCTTTAATTTTATTGATGATATATTTTAAAAGAGTGTAGTATTTTTTTAATCTTCAAAGTATGCTCGGATGACAAAATCTCTTTGTACGAACAATACTCGGAAATACACTTCCTTTATAATTAGAAAATTTTCTACGGATTCCTTTCGCAAAAGACATTACCTTAAATTTTGAAATATCAAAATAAAATAAGAATAGAATGGGATAAAAATAAAATAAAATAAAAATAATAAATGAATAAAAGCAAGATAATAAAATGAAAAAAACACCATGAAGAAAAAAACAATTGAATATAAAAAAGATTTTTGTGCAAAAAATCCTCAAAGAATCACTTCGCTTGTAGTTGAGAGATATCTTCATAGATTTCCCTCACAAATGGTTATCTCATTGATAAATTACATATATTTAATATATTTAAATGATATTTAATGAAAAACAATAATAATAGTGAAAATACGTTATATAAATTATAAGATGCACGTGCATATCTAATACAATATGTATACATAGTATAAAACGTGCTTAACATATATAACATGTTACAAACTTGAAAAAGGCATATTGTACATACTATATATATATATATATATATATAATATTTAGTGGGATGAGACACTAGATCCCTTAAGCAAGGTCAGAGAGTCGAATCATGGCGTTTGTGAATGGAGCAAACTGGGTTGGGAGAGTCGTCATTGCTTCTGCAGTACCCGATTTGGATTAGTCGATCAATAGATCGGATACCAGTAATTAATTAAAAAACCACACACACAATCTACTTTTTGGTAATAAATTATAATCTATATTTATAGTGTAATATTTACACATATTTATATATGAGCTATAATGTGAACATATAAATAAGGCAGTTTAAAAAAACATATCACATCAAATAAGTTATAGTAGGAAGTCAAATGGACCGTGACATGAATTAAGGAAACAAACATTTAAAAGGAAGGCAAAAATCATACATAAATTTAAAGACCAAATATATGCAGTGAAGGGTAAATGGCAAAATAAATTATAATCATGCTGTAATAATAAGAAGAAGAAAATAAGCTATAGCAAACTTTAATAAATGACAACTAATATAATAACAATGATGACATATATTTATAAGAGAAAATAATTTCATTGAACAAAAATGTCTTATAATATACGATTTTAATCAACTTTTTTTGGATTTGCCAAAATGACCAACTAAATCGCAATGCGATCGATAATCGAAGTTCGCATTGCGATAGTCGAAGTTCGCGTTGCGATTTATTCCAAATTCGTTGCGATAGTCCAAATTCGCAACGACTGGTGGTATTGCATTTATTTCTTAAGAATTTTCTCTAAAAATATAATATTCGCGCGGACGTGTCGAAGACACGTATTACCACGACCACGACCCGAGACGGACGGTGGCGGCGCGCGAGAGTTCCCCTTGTTCTCTATCACTCAACAAGGAAGTGGGAAAGCCAAGCCTTAAATACCATTCTCAATAGTGTTTCCAAAACTATGTGGGATTGAACATTACCAACACTTGTTTCCAATACTATGTGGGATTGAGCATTACCAACACTTGTTTCTAATACAATGTGATTATTCAGGAAACAATTAACAATCATGCACCTTAAAACAACTGAATCAGCAACCAATTGCATTAATATTATACGATTAAATATGTCATAATTAAAAGTCAATCTACAATCAATCGTGATTATTGCAATTTTAAGCAAAACATTCAAAAATAATATCACTATTTATGGCTCAATCCCACATAGTATTGGGAACAAGTGTTGGTAATGCTCAATCCCACATAGTATTGAAAACACTATTGGGAATGGTATTTAAGGCTTGGCTTTCCCACTTCCTTGTTGAGTGATAGAGAACAAGGGTGAGTGATAGAGAACAAGGGGACTCTCGCGCGCCGCCGCCGCCGTCCGTCTCGGGTCGTGGTCGTGGTCGTGGTAATACGTGTCGAAATTTTGGAGTATCGCAACGAATTTGGAATAAATCGCAACGCGAACTTTGACTATCGCAACGAATTTGGAAAAAATCGCAACGCGAACTTCGACTATCGCAATGCGAATATGTAAATCGCAATGCGATAGTCGAAGTTCGTGTTGCGATAGTTGAATTTGGAAAATCGCAATGCGAACTTCGACTATCGCATTGCGATTTACATATTCGCATTGCGATAGTCCAAGTTCGCATTGCGATAGTCGAAGTTCGCGTAGCGAATCTGGAAACTGATTTGCGATACCGGTGATCGCGTTACGAATGATCGATCGCATTGCGATTTAGTTGGTCATTTTGACAAATCCAAAAAAAGTTTGTTAAAATCGTATATTATAAGGCATTTTTTGTCAATGAGGTTATTTTCTCTATTTATAACTAGTAGTAATTAATAATGTGCACAATGTAAACTGGATTCCGGACAGAATTAAGTGTCTATAAAGATTAAATCAATAGAATGTGTGAAAATTAAAATTGTTATTACATAAAATTACATTACTATTCTATTTAATATTTAAATAGATATTGATATATTCGTAATGATATACTAATTGAATGGTTATTTAAAAAAAACTGACTTGTTTGTAAGAGATGAAATAATTGAATGATCTGATATGTATTTTACCCCCCAAAAAAGAGATGAAATAGGCTAAGATGGCAACGACGACTGTGACGCCTAACATAACATGGGAGACGACGCCCGAAAGGAACGTTACGAACGAGCTTCCGGTCCAAAAGGAGGCGAAGATTGTTAAGAAGAATAAGAAGAAGCCGTAAAGGCCATCTGCAAGTCTGACTGACCAAAATGTTATTGTGGCGAAGGCCATCGAGAGGATGATCAAAGATGGGATGGAGATTAGTGAGTGGGCCAATACGTATGACGATCGGCGATAAGCATTGTAAGCCGTTTCTCACATGAAAATGTATCGTTCTTGGAGGAAAACCGGGAGTACTTCGGCACAAGTGTAGAACGTTGTGGACCTGACAAAAGCAAAGAAGCCTAAACGTTCTTGGACGCCCTTTGGTGAATTGTCTAGCTTCCAAAACATGGTGGCTAAGATGATCCCGGTGACGACAACTGCACCTAATCGGATCCCGAACAGTTCAGGCATCCTTCTCGAGTTCAACATCGATCTTTTGGAGATAACTATCATTTCGATCCACATCGGATTCGCAAAAGTAGGCACCGAGGATGTGAAATTGGAATCATTTGTTGCACCAGAGACTAACTTCCCTTTAGAAATGCTTGCACTGATTGCATATTTGAGTGAAAGATCTGATCTCGTGAAGCATCCATCTCTTTGATTCTTTCTAGCTTGCCATGATTTGTTGAATTCAACTAAGCCTTTGGTTCCACCAAGAGTTTCTTCGAGCTCACGAATCAAGTCAAGAGCGAACTTGGTTTTGCTTTCCTTCTCCGGTATCGGATGCCCGAACTCCGCAAAGAAAGACGGCAGCATGTCCGGCGTGCCACCGTAAACAGTGTTTCCATGTGAAAGGAAAATCAAACGATCAAGCACGTTCAAAATTCGATAACTTGGTTGATGAATCGACATGATCACGATGCTTCCACTTTGAGCAATTCATTGCAAGACCTTAACCACCATGAACGCGCTCTTCGAGTCCAAACCGAAGTCGGTTCATCGAGGAACAAAACAATGGGGTCATGGGTTATGTCGATCCCGATCGAAACCCGCCTTCGTTCCCCTCCGGAAACACCTCGGTGCCCTTCGTCCCCCATCACCGTCTTCGCCGCACTTCGATCAAAGCTTGCACTCTAGCCTTCTTCTTTGTCTTGGAAAGCTATCGAGGAAGCCGGAACTCCGCCGAAAACATGAGCGTCTCTTCGACGGTGAGCGTCGGAAAAAGAAGATCGTCTTGCATAACATAAGCCGAAATCACCCTCAAAAGCCTCGACTCCAATTCTTCACCATTCAAAGTTGAAGTACCCTTTAAGCTATCTTTAGCAATACGATTCGCTAGTGCATCGATCAAAGTCGATTTCCCAGAGCCACTTGCACCAAGAACCGCGATTATTTCACCTTCTCGAGCTTCACCCGAGATACCATTCAACAAAATCTTCGTATTAACGCCATTAGAATCAAGCTCATCGCCGTTCTTCCCACAAAACGGGATCATTAATCCCATCTTTTTACGAACTTTAACACTGTAAGTCAAGTTATTAAAACTAAGAACGAAAGGGTTTGAAGATTGGAGTGAACAAAATGTTTGTCTATGGATTTAGGGTTTTGTCCAGAGATGGATTGAGTGGACAGGTTGAAAATTTTAATTTTTTTTATATTTTAGATATTTTATTATGTAATTAATGTTGTGATGTGATTTATATTTTAAAAATAATTATATTTCTAAAAAATGAATACGATTTAAAATTATTACGATACAAATGTGATACTACATTGCGCTTACAATTTAATACATTTTCGGATGTGAATACAAAACGAAACAATTTGAAGTCAGATGATACCTCTCATTATATTTTAGAAATGAGATTAAGATTTTGAATATTATGGTAATTTTTTTAGTATAATTTTGTGTGATAAATCTATTTTTTAAGAAATTAAACCGAGTTAAAGTTATGGGTAATAATTTAAGTTTTTTTTAATAATAATAAATGGGTTGATTTTATATAAGAATTCATGTACTAAAATTGTACATAAAATCATTTCTCTTTCAACAACCCAGCGATAAGAGAAATGGGTCTCAAATCTGTGCTTTACAACAATAACACAGATGTTGGAGGACTAATATGTAAATAAAATTTTAAAAAACCGTTATATAACTGCCTAAAAATCATCGCCGATTTTTTTCAAGGACTAGCGAGAAAAATCGCGTCATAAAATGAATATTTAAAATTCTAAATGCTTTCGATGAGACTACGAAGTAGACGACGGTGAACTGCCCGGACTAACCGTCCTTAAGAACAAATCCGACAAGTAATTCCCGACATCTTCGGGGTAAAATCTGATGAACAATGTGACGCTCCTTTCATCTCCGATTGTTGCTTTATGGCAATTGAAAAAATTCAGATAAACGGCGACGAGTTTTCTTCCAATGGATGCTTTGATCTGGTCTCGGAGCTTCGAGTCGGGTACGACGCATGAAATCTGCTTCCAATACGCTGCTTCGAAGCTTATATTGAATTTCCTGAAACACTGTTTGGCTTCCGCCGGTGTCATCGGCGCTGTTGGATTCTTAGGCAAGGAGGCGAAGACGTTTCCGAACGCTAACCGCTCGTAGTTATCCACCAACCGGTTCACTTTAGCTTCGTGCTTCACGATCCATTCCTCGCCGAGTAAGTACTGGATATTGGAATTATGGACTACGGAGATTACATGTTGGAGATTGTTGGCTAGAAATAGGTATGAAACGGCGGCGTCTTTGTAACGCTTGGCTTTGCTATCGAGTTTGCAGAGTAGGACGAGCATTAGCCAAGAAATGCAGGCGGATGTTGTAGAAGCCGGAGATGCAACGGAAACTGGGCTGTAAAAGTAGGATTCCCGTGGAGGTGATTTCGCCGGCGGTGACCAGTCGGAAATGATGTCGGTGAGAATGTTGATGTACTCGGCGAGAGAAGCGAGGTATTTCATCGAGAAGATCGTCAGAGGATGGAAATCGCCGCCTGGAACCATCGATATCGACGAATCTTTTCGGATTGTGGACTCAAAATCAGATAACAACGACCTCACTGACTCGCTGAGTCGAGTCAACGATTTGAGAGCTTGTGATCGAACGGCAGAACTTGACTCAAAGGAAAAAATCGTTTCAATCTCTTGCCGGTTATCTGAAATAGCCGTGTACATAGCGAGGAGACGGAAAATTTTCTCCTGCGGCGATTTTTTCGCCTTTGCGATTAGTTCGGGGAATCCAAACAGAGCGATGGCGCCTTCTTTTGTAATCTCTGAAAAGCAAGATTCTCTAATGGAATCCGACGAGGAAAATACGAAGTCGCAGAGGATTCTTTCTCCAGTGAAAAGCGACCTCATTGAAATCTTCATGGCTTCTAACCAGTTCTTGATTTTCAAATTCAGTACATCCCATTCCATCTTTTTGATCTGAGACGATCTTAGTTTTTCGATCCCGAGCTTGTAAATACCTTCATCGATAATCGATTTTCGAATAGAATTATAAATTTGGACGCATTCTTTGGCGTAACCACAAGCGATCATGCAATCTGCTATCAATTTCAGATCGGACATCGCCATGTAGGAAACTTCTTGTACTTCAGAGATGGAATCCCCGACGGCACGGATCTCATTATCCGGTGAAAAGTCGTAATCGTAATCTGACAAGCACGATTTCGTGGAGGTTCGTGATGATCGAGTGGAAACCGATTCCGGATCCAAATGAGCACGGTTCATCGATAAAATCTGGTAAAACTCTTTTTGAAGCCTCTTCATTGCGATTTGCAGCAAACGTTGAACTTGAGAGAATTTCTCCGAACGGGAACCTCGATCGTTAGCAAGAAAACGCATGATTTTGTGCAGGTCGTCGACGGATCTTATGAAATTCATGGCCTCTGTTTTGCTTTCGTAGAATAGAGAAGTCCTTCTAGCGTACGAAGGCCTTTCAACATCCCATTTCGCGAAGAGGGTGGCGGCGGCGTCGATGGTTTGCTCGACCGTCAATTCGGATAATCTACGGCGGTTATTCCTGCATGACGAGGCTAATGAATATAGTGTCATCGGCCTCCGTATCGGCGGCGTTTCATGGCTGAAGCAAAGGCTCCGCATTCCCTTTCGCAGCATCCTACCGGAGGAAAGTTCTTTTATTTATTTTTAAATATAAGAAACTGGAAATTCGAGCCTAAGCTTCCATTGTTCGGATGGGATTTTATAGACGTTTTAACGAACGACGTCGTTCTTCGGTTTTTAAATTACTTTTTTAACTAATTTAATAATATCTATATATACTCGGTTTTTAAATTAAATTTATTTTATAAAAGATACTAAAATTATTTTTTAAAAATACAACTTGAGAAATAATTAATGGTTCTAAGGAAAGACAAGTTGGCCACTTAAATTCTAAATGTTAGGGAAAATATAATTTATTTTTATTAATTTTTTCTTGACTCTAGACTCAAGACCAATATCAAGTTGATTAAAGCTAAGCTCTAGCATTTAATTAGGGATAGACATGGTCAGATGAGGTGAATTTTGTGACTGATTTAAATTTGATCGAGTAAGAGGTTGTTTGTTTATTTCATAATGATTAAGTCCTGAATGATTAAAATGCTGAATGATTCAGAGGATCTGAATGAATTAGCTCTGAATGTGATACGTTGTTTGATAATGGCTCTGAATCATTCAGAATGCACTTCTGTGTTGAATCATTCAACACTGTTTTGCTGAATCAATCAGTACTGAATCATTCAGAGGTACGAAAAAAATCGAAAATATATGATAATATGAATTTTTCAGGGCAACAACTGCCCTTGGTCATCCCTCTTCGGTCTATTCATGTTTATTAGGAAAGATAATTCTACTATTATCTCGGGTTGGGTCAAGGATTTTCATCTTGAATTCGAACTTGACCCAATATTATCCATAAAAAATCAATCTACTCGATCTTGTCCTTCAAGAAAAAAATTGATTTAACGTGATTCAAACTCGTTTTTTTTAAATAATCCTATAAGATTAAATCAGATCAAAATTCATCAAGTCTAAATCTCATACGCATCCCCCATATTTAACTCCTAAATGTTGGAATTACTTGGAAAAGTGTATAACTTATTTAATTTCTTCTTTATCATTTCTCATTACAACATTTACACGGTTTAAATATAATCACAACTTATTCAAAATAATGATATGTCAAATATAGCTTTGAACAAGTTGGATAAAGGCAACTGCAATTTGCATATGTTTATCAAGTTTTTCAACATTTCAGTTTCTTTATCATATGAAATTAAAAGGTGATTTTATGAGTAATATTCTTTTCTTTATTATTTACCTAAACTATATAAAAATTTTATTTCGAAAATTAATCAAAATTTTAAACATATAATATCATATACTGTTTTTTTATTACGATAGTTTTCGGAAAACGAATAACGCCACATAATAATTTTTTATTTCGAATCAAATTATAATAATAAAAAAATCAATGGAACTAAAATGGAGTCAATTTTTTAATTATAACTTTCAAAATTAAAACATATTCAAATACATCCTACACAATAGCAATAATTTCGCAGTGTAAAAGAAGTCTTGTTATTTAGATAAGTTAGATACAAGAAGACAAGAAGTACATGAATTTAGGTGTTTGTCGCCGACGAGGGCTTCACACGATAACAAGGTCAATGATGGTTTAATGTTTTAGGTAGGGGTGTAAACGAGCCGAGTCGAGCTCGAGTATTGTTGAGCTCGACTCGACTCAAAAACTCTGAAATGGAGCTCGACTCGACTCGAAAATTCGCGAGCTTGAAATTTTCAAGCTCGACTCGAACTCGAAATCCTGAACTAAAGCTCGTGAGAAGCTCAAAATGAAAAAAAAAATTTAACTTAACTCAATTGAAGCCTTAAACTCGAACTCGAACCTGAACTTTAAATACACGAAAATCTTACTGTATTTTTTTTAAATCAATACATAAATATTAATATAATTAATAATTTATTTTTTTTAAAAAAATATTAATATATTATATTTTCGAGCTGCTCACGAGCTTTTCGAGTCGAATATCAAGTAGCTCGTTTCGGCTCGTTAAGAACTCGAGTCGAGTCCATTCAATCCGAGTATTTATCGAGCCTTGATCGAGTCGATCTCGAGTAGCTCGTGATCTGTCTCGTCATATTTACTGCCCTAGTTTTAGGCTTGAATACCCTAATTTATAAATAAATAAATAAATAAAATCAATAACCTTCAATGATTTATCAAATACAGCCTAACTTAAAAAAAATAAAAGAAATCAATTTTTAATACGTAATTAATGAAATAGGATTGTTGCATCCCATGCCAATTATAAATGACTAAACATTGAATGGACCAAAACGAAAAATTGTTAACCAACATGTGCAAATGGTTGCAAATATTAATTACAAGTCATTGTGACCATTTAAAAATATCTTAAACGTTTATTTCGATCAATAATCACAAACCACAATATTTAAATAAATATGCAAATGAAAGCCGAAGTATACACGATATTTAAACATTTATTTCTTCACAACGTTTTTGTATTAAATAAGGTGGTGAAATGCGTCACTGTCTGATTGGATACAAAATTAAATTAAATAAATAATTAAAGTTGATCAAATATCCTCTAATCTAATAGAGGGGTATTATTCACTCGATCCTAAAATTTTACATCATTCACTTGATCCGACCCGACCCGAAAAATATATACCCTCCATCCGACCCAATTTTTTGAGATAAAATTCGAATCCGACCTGACCCGAAATAATAAAATAATTATTTTTATTCAATAAAAACAATGCTTTAATTGAAAAAAATAATATATAGAAGGGTACTATTGTAATTATTCATAAATATATAAGATAAAATTATTATTTTTCGAATCAGGTAGGGTCGGGTATTTTTTACCCTAAACCCGAATCTGACCCGACCCAAACATCACATTTAAAAAATACGACCCTACTCGAATCCAAATAAAAAAAACCGACCTAATTGGGTCGGGTCAGGTTGGAACCCGTTGACTTCGGGTCCCATGCCCATCCTTAGCCCCATGCATGTCTTCTCTTTCATTCTCAACCTTTCTCTTCACCTTTTGGCTAAAAAAACAACAATCTTCCCAACATCCATTTACTACATTTTCAAACAACATAGCTTAACTCCATGTTCCTACAAGCATTTTATTTATACATAACTTTGACATTTATTTTACACATAAGATTAAAACGTGAAATATGTAATGTATTTTATAATTATATTTATTTTTTATATAATATTAATTATTAATTTAAATAAAATATTTATAAAGAATGGTCATATAAAATAATCAGATTGAGTTCACACTTTACATTTGTGGACATCATACATTATTTCTTATAAATATACATATATATAAAAAAGGATAAATTACACAAATGATTTCCTGACTATAGAACATTGCTTCGTTGAGTCTTCTGACTATTAAAAGTTACAAAATGATATTCAAACTATAAAGTGCTATTTTATTACAAAATAATCATCTGATCATATTTTAATGATATTAAAAGTCTGAACTGGACGTTATTCTGTTGATTGCGATATAAAATCATATTTTAATGTGTCTAATGACACCATTATTTCTTTCAAGTACTGGCTCAATGACATAATGTAAATGAAGAGTCAATCCATTGAATACAACTCAAACTGATATGAGATCATATTTTATCATATCTCAGTCAATATATTAATATCTAGCTCATATGGTTGTCAATTTTTTAACAAAAAAAATATGAGCTTAGAATATATAGATAGTCGAGTGATTATTTTGTAACTTTTAATAGTCGGAAGACATAACAACGCAACGCTTTAAATTGATGGACTATTTTATAATTTTTAATGATTGAAAGACTCAATAAAACCACCCTTTATATTTGAGGGACTATCTGTATACTTTATAAAAAAACAAGGGATAGAAGTTATTAACGGACGTGAATGCATGCACTAAATTTTAGCCCTGACTTCAAATTCATTGATCAAAAAACAACAAATCCATACAAAGCTTTCAACTGTGACACCATTGACACAAAGTCCTCAATCGTCACTTTCAAACGCGTGGTCCTCAAATCCCACCCCCTTGCACTTCATTTATTATTGTTTTTTATATAAATTATTAGGGTAAAATATACAAATGGTCACCGAACTTTTCAAATACTTTCATTTAAATCCCCAACCTTTAAAACTTGCAATACAATCACCAAACATTTAATTCGTTTGTAATATAGTCTCCGACGTAACAGGAGTTTCACTGTCCTATTTTTTCAAATCTCATGAACCCTAAAAGCTTGAAATATTTTTCTATGCAATTCGACTGAATTAATTTTCGTTACTGTTAAATAAATAGATGAGATATTAATAATTTGGAGGTGATGTTTTTATCTTAAGACAGTAGGTTGAACAAGTGTGATTGTCGGACATTGTATATGCTATCAACAATAAAGATAAATTTTAAATAAGTATTACTTTATAATGATTTAAATTATTATTTTTAAGAAAAACAGACATATAATAAATCTACACAGTGCCGACATTTATCATAGAAGTTGAAGAGAGGAAGAAGAAAGCAAGGAGAGGCTTAAAAGTTTTCTCACGAAGAGCTGGGACGTGAGGGCATTGCCACGTATACGCGACGTGCCATATCAAAGCCATGCAATCACGCTTCCCACTGCTTTTTCCCGTTTTTCTTCTCACTGGTCTCTTAAGTTGGTCTAATTATGTTCTTAGTCCATGTATTCGTTGTGTATCTGAAATTAATACTTCACTCTTTTGTTTCGATAAGTAAAGATCAACTAATAAAGGTTGGTTCATTAATTTTAAACTCATAAAATATAATAGTTCATGAAATAGTTTGGCTGTCCTTTTTTCCCATATATATGGGGTAAGGGGGAGGTAAGATAGTAGGCTACCCCCAACACCAAGTTGAGAGCAACTTCCGTAAGAGACCTCCGAATTATGAAATACCCTCCGTAGGACTCGATCCCACGACCTATATGAGTGCTTAAATAAAACCTTTTCGATTAAACACCACGACTTTGAATTGTCCACTTCAGTATTTAAAAAAAACAAGTAATCCAATTTAAATTCTATTATTAAAAATAGAAGATCAAAACTAAATTCCTTGGAACTAAAATAAGATTAAATTTCAAATGTACTAAAAGTAAAGGGACTATGAGCAGAATTAGACCTTTACATGTTTTACCAAACATAAAGGCAAAGCGAAGTACCACCGTGAAATCGTTGTTCATCCCCATCTTTCATAATAACGATAAATTTTTAACTAAATTTTTATACAGTACCACCTCAAGATGAAAGAAGTTAAGCTGCAACCTACTTTGAATGATTCCAACCTTTGATCTTGGATATATTCTTGATGATATATATATTAGTTCTTGTCATTGGCCTCCATGGAAGCATTAAACTTGCTTTGGATCCTCTGCCTTGGCTCCATCTCAGTTGCTTTTTGACCCCTACCACTTGTGTAAGCTTCAAAGAACTCCTTGTTCTCTTTCTGCAATTCATTCCAAACTGTAACCAAAGCCATATATATATATATGTTTTGTTATGTGTTCTCACTGTGTGAGTAATATTTTTCCAAGAAAATGACTGAAATTATATTAATTAACCTGTTGAAGTAATGACTGGTTTAATATCTGCATGCTTGGACAAAGCTTCCATGCACTCTTCTTTGCTCATGTTGAAGATCAAACACTCTTCTATAAGATGGTGCACCTGCATACAATTGACCACATAATTTTTTTTTAAAAAAAAAGTCGATCATTGTTAATCGAGTTGGAGTGTGCTTGAGGATGTAGTATCTTGCATATAGCTTACCATGCGGATATATGATGCCGAAGATTCACCCATAAATCATGCAAATATTAGTAGTCGGAGTATTTATAGAGTGATTGATATGAAGGATGAACCTCGGAAAATGCAGGGAAAAGTTTGTCAAGATGGGAAAGAAATGAAAAGAGGAGGAGAAAATCAGTCCAATGTCTTGAGCTGGCCAAAAGTATTGAATTTATAAGCTAAAAATATGGAAGTGGACAGGGATGGATCAACATGTGTTGGGGTTAATTTATAAGCATCAGAATCGGACCGGTCAGCGAACGGGCTGTGCTACCGGTTCATTGGTTCAATCGGTCGATCCGGTCGTAAGAACCGAACGACGTCATAATTATTTAAAAAATTAAATAAAAATACAAAAAAATTTAATAAAAAATAAAAAATAAAATTAGGTTGAACCGGTTTACGGTCCGGTTCGAACGGTTCCTTACGGTTCACTAGAACCGGTTAAACCGAAGTAGAATGAATCGAACGAGACAACGGTTCTCGATTCAACCGGTTGATCCGGTCTGATTTTCAAAACACTGAATTATAAGCCAAAAGTATTCAATTTATAAGAAATGGAAATTGTTGTTTGACGTGATCATATGTTTGTCGTAGGATGTCGGTGGGGTCCATGTCTCACGTGGGACGATGTCTATGATTGGCGGAGAAGAGATGAGGGGGGATTCTGTAAGAAAGCTAGTCCTCTAGTTATACAGTCTCACGTGCTGATTAGGCCACCCTCCACTTGAAACGTGGGACCTGCTCACCCTACCCATTGTTGGCTTGTGCGGATTTAGGCAGGGTTTATGACTGGTTGTTTTCAGTTCTTTTATCTGGTTATATCTTAGGACAATGAAGCAAGATGGTGGGGATTTTAATGAGAATTTAGTGCTCCAATTATAAAAATATAAGCGATCAATCATTTATATCAATGATTGAGTTTGAATTAATTATAATTTATCTAATAAGATAAGATATTAGATATTTTAAATAATATTAAAAGTTTATATTTAATATTATAAACCTGAAAATTATATTAAAAGAATATTTTTCATAATACATATATAATATCAATTAATCAGATATCATAATTATAAAAATGGTCAAATGTCTAATATTAAAAGAATGAGTATATATATCAGAAATCTCTGAGTCACCATGATATAAATATTTGACATATTTAACTCTTGGAATAATAGTATAAGTTTATAACGACAAACCAATATATTAACGTGAAAGATCTTTAAGTGTATACGTACGATTTCTCATTCTAAATTTGAATAAATAGTTGAAGTTGTCGTAGCGCAGATATATTCAAAATTTGGCCCAACATCTATCAAGATCGAGTAAATAATGAATATCAATTGTCAACAGCGAAAAGATGACTGAAAATAATGAATATCAATCGTCAATTACAAGTCTCAAATTTTGAAGGTAGCATAAGATGGTATAGTAAGGGTTCACTTTTGCTTTCTCATTTATTTGTGATGTGGACTTGAACGTCTTTGAAACACATAGTAAAACTGGGAAAGTAAATTAAAGAAATACAACAGTTTAAGCAATTGATAAACATCAACTTTCTCTCAAAATCAACATAACAGCTATAGTGTTTTTCTGTTAATCCTTCAGTCTATTATATTTTATAACAGAAAATGTATTCTGGCAGGTAACCAGTCATTTTCAAGTAAACAGGCAGATTTACTTTTCCCACCGGATTTTGAAGATGATTTTCCAGTCGCAGCACAGGTAGCATTATATCCTATATTTTGATAATTTTATTTTTCTAGAAAACTGTATGTTGTGCAAACATTAAGACAAGTATTTGTTAATTGGCAGATATCCCGCAAATATAGTTTGATCTACGTTGTCACAAACCTCGGGTTGCTGTTTGTTTATGATCTAGAGATGGCGACGGCAGTATGCAGAACTAGGATCAGCCCACATCCTATATTTTTAACCTCTGAAGATTCAGTGCTGGGTGGGTTGTATGCCATCAACACGCAAGGTCAGGTGTTGTTGGCTACTGTAAATGAAGCAACAATAGTGGCATTTGTTAGTGATCAAGTATGTTCTGTGCCTCTATTGTTTTGTTTTCTGGTATATCTTAGGCGAGACATGGCTGCTTACAACTTCTTCTGGTTTCTTTCGTGTTTCAGTTGAACAATTTGGGGCTTGCTGTCAATCTGGCTAAAAGAGCAAACCTTCCAGTGGCAGAGAATTTGGTAAGTATCTTGAAGACAGGGATTGGAGACAGGCCGTCTTGTTTCTTGATCTACCGAGGTACCGGTTTTCTGGCTGTGTTCTTTCGTTTCGCATTGCATGATTAGATCTAGTGTTTGACATACCTGATACCTACTTGGTCACTTTGTTAAATTTTTTACTATGCTTTTGGATATCTCAGATTGTCCAACGTTTTGAAGAATTGTTTGCTCAGACGAAGTATATAGAAGCTGCTGAGTTTGCTGCAGAGTCTCCGCAAGGATCCTTCGTACACCTGATTCATTATCCAAGCTTCAGGTCTGATTTTTTTCTTCTTCCTTTAATCACAGAGTATTTGCATAAATCCTCTACCCAGAGTGATCCTGTGCAAGTTGGGCAAACTCCACCACTGTTGCAATACTTGAGTATCCTTTTAACAATAGTGAAGCTCAATGCATTCGAGTCATTGGAATCATCTCGGATTGCTCTAGACCAAAACAAGAAGAATCTTCTTGAGACCTGGTTGGCAGAAGATAAACTGGAGTGTAGTGAGGAACTTGGAGACTTTGTGAAGGTTTGATTTGAATCATATTTAATATTATTGCTCGTTCTATTTTGGGCGCCTCCTAATTGTTCTTCTTCTTTTGTTGTAGACTGTGGACGACGATCTTGCGCTGAAAATATATATTAGAGCTAGGGCAGCTTCAAAAGTTGTTGCAGCTTTTGCTGACCGCAGAGAGTTTCACTTTGACAAAATCTTAAAGAAACTGTTTCCTCAGGTTGGGTACAGTCTCGACTACTTGTTCCTTCTGCAAACAATTCTTGGTACTCATCCACAGGTTTGTTTCTGTTTTCTGTTGTCTTTAGCGTTTGAGGTGTCAAGTCATCATATAAGTAATTGGTAAATATGTTCCGATGTGTTTATACCACTTCGTTAAAAAGCCTTTTTCAGTAAACTTTTATGGATATTTCTGATAAATTAAAATTTCATCTATTGTTTGCCAATCTATAGACTTATTGATGAGCTCCCTACATTTGATTCTCAACAACGAACTCTGTTGTTGTTTTGGTTTCTGCTTGTTAGTCGCTGCCGTTGCGAAATTCGGCTGACCATTTAATCGACATAGAAGATAATGGCATTGTGGAGGGTGGTTCAAGTCAGAAGGTTAAAACCGGATATTGCATAACTCATTCTCCCTGTTTTTAGGTCAATTTAGATATTAAGATTTGAGTATTTTGACTACTGACTACTGAGCACCGATTGTTCCTCATCTATTTTTTGGCTTGATGTTCAAACGGATAGATTTGGATCTTTCTCATTGTCAACTTCCGGAATATGCATTGGCAGCAATGTTAATGGCTCTCCTAGGTTTGCTCGGATGCACGACGGAGTTAGCCTTTAAGGGTGGAAAGGAAAAGGCGAGATGGAGATGGGATAAGGAGATACCATGGTTTTATTGTTCAACAGCTCGTCCTACAAGTTTCAGGCGTTTCGGTAGCTTTGCTGAAATATTTGGATTGGTATGTGCCGTACTTCAAAGTATTTCAGCACTTGTGGCTTATGTCTTTTATAGTCGGCACTCTGATAATCCCATCAAGGTCTCATATTCGCCAATTATTTTTGCACTTGGTCTATTGTTCTCTCAATATCTCAAGGATCGAAGTCGGAAAGTGAATGTGGCTGGTCATGAAGATTAGATTGTATTGCTCTTCTTATGCATATTGGGTTTCGTTCATGTAAATAGGATGCCAAAAGGATTTTCTGATTGCCAAGTTTTGTCCAAGTTGCTTTTAATTACTTGATACTGAAAGTCCGAAACAACCGATGTAATTTTTGATAAGCAACGTGGTAGAAAAAAAAAACATGTACAATATAGAGATATGGATATATGGAAATTTATATACAATTAATTTTTATCGTGTTATTTTATGTTAAAATATAATGAAATGAAATTAAGATTCAAACTAAAATCTAATATAACAATCACTTCAACTCATTTTTCTTTTAACATAATCACCGATATCCAATTTATTGATTAAATATACGGTTCGAATATTGTAGGGGCGAGGACAATTCTTCTAATTTAATTTGTTTCGCTCGAAAATTATAGGATTCGAAAATTCTATTGATTAAATATATTTAGATATATATGATATTAGTCAGATTACCACATCAGTTGTATTGAATCTGTAGTTCGAATTGTGATTCAAATATTTTAGTAGATAGAAGGTCGAATCAATTAGTTTAACTGTGCTAATCCGAACCGTCCATTTTGGATGAGAGAGCATAGCTCGTGACAGTTTTAACCATCGAATTTCATCCATTTAGCAAAATCATCCACTGCAATGGCAGCCAGGCTCTCACTCTCTCTAGGCCTTCCACTTCCAGCTTCAATTTCTCTTCACTCCATTTTCAAGGTTCCCTTTCTAATTCTTTTACTCTCTGATTAGCAACACAATCACCGTTACTCATCGAAGCTTTCTTCTTCAATTGCAGGGAAATTCTAGGAATTTAAGACCAGACTCACTTCACATCATCCCAATTAGAACCAGGAAACAGCCACTACATGAGCAGCAACAGACAAGGTCTTTAGTTGTTGTGAACCAAGCGGCGAAAACCCAAGTTCCAGTTCCGGCTTCTAATGTCCGGTTTCGATTGGATAACCTTGGACCTCAGCCAGGGTCGAGAAAGAAAGCAAAGCGAAAGGGGAGAGGGATTTCGGCCGGACAAGGTGGAAGTTGTGGGTTTGGGATGAGGGGCCAGAAATCACGGTCTGGTCCGGGTGTTAGGAAAGGGTTCGAAGGTGGCCAAATGCCGCTTTATCGGCGTATCCCCAAATTGAGAGGCATTGCTGGAGGTAATATTTTACTATGCACGTCAACTCGTTTATGAAAATTAAGAAATTTGATGGTTGTTTATGTTGAACTGTGCAAATTTTGGAAATGCTTAATTAAATTGCTCCCTTAAGTAAGAATTTAAGCAAGTTTTTAGCTGTCTTCTTTGGGATTTAGCAATAGTAGAAACATTCAATCAAATGGTTAGTCAATGCAAGTTATGTGAGGAATGGTTTGGATTTGGTTTTTACCATGATATAGTTTGGTAGCGATTGAAAATTGTGCTTGATTGTTGGTTCTTTACGAGCCTGTTTCACCATTGTAAGTGTTAGTCGAGTATAATTATTGCAGTTGATGTAAAGAAAAGCTAAGATATTGTTTTGGAAATTTAATGCAATAAGTATTATAGGATGTAGAAATTGCTATTTTCCCCCATGTTAGATCCTAGAATTGTATCTTGCGACGATGATGCTGGTGTGGAGATGTAAACTAGATGTCATTGAATGAATTTGAAAGTTAAGGGCTTTCCTATCAGTTTAATTGTTTCTTTTATATTAGCTGAAACCAGAGTTCGAGCTTGGTAATTTTTTCATCTCTCGATAATTCTTTATGTTGTGCGGTGTCCATTGACATTTTTTCTTCAATTGTCATTTTTCTTACAAGGTATGCATGCGGGATTACCTAAATACATTCCCGTCAACTTGAAAGACATAGAAACAGCAGGATTTCAAGAGGGTGATGAGGTATCATTGGAAACTTTGAAGGAGAAGGGTTTGATCAATCCATCAGGCAGAGAGAGGAAACTCCCTTTAAAGGTATGTACGATCTCGGATTTTTTTGTGACAGCTATAGGGATAAGACATGGTGTTTTTAGTCCATGTATAAGTTTGATAGCCCTGAAAGCAGAAATTGTTCTCTTGATCTTTGAGTAGAAAACTCAGTTTATCTTATGCATGAATCATTAATCATGAGAAAAACTAGTCTTGTTCTTGATTAATTATGGAAACAATAATGCAATTAGAGTAAGCTCTATCAAAAGAAATGCATCCTTCGATTTTGGGGCTCAATCTCGACTGTGTAAGGTTCATTCCAGCTACTACTACTCTGCCTATGTTGTGTACTTTCCTTCTGAGACTTGTGGCCTTTACTTTCTCTGCCAAAAAGCAGAACTTATTTCAGGGTCATCAATAATGCTCGACTCATTATGGAATGTCATGCCCTGTTTTGTTTGGAATTGGACGATATTCAATGTATGCATGCCTATATATGTGTGTGTGTGGAACATTAGCTCCTTGACCTCTGGTTTTTCAATTTGCATACATATCGTGCTTGTTGACAGGCACATACAAAGAGACATGTACATACATACATACATATATATTTCTGGTTGAAGCAGGCTGAAGTCCTATTTCTCGTGTTGAATTTCGAAATATCAATTCCATTTCTGGTTTAGCTCTTTCTGGCTGTTTATCGTTCCGAAATGTGTGTTAAATTCAGTAACGTATGTTATGTTGTGTGTTTCTTTTTGATTGATTTCTTAAATATTATCTATTGAACAGTATAAATGGCCATCATGTTGTTTATGCTATTGTGTTGAATTAGATTCTCGGTGATGGGGAGCTTAACGTAAAACTGAACTTCAAGGCCCGTGCCTTCTCATCGTCTGCAAAAGAAAAGCTCGAGGCAGCTGGTTCCTCGCTAACCATATTGCCTGGCCGGAAGAAGTGGGTTAAACCATCGGTTGCCAAGAACCTTGCACGAGCTGAAGAGTACTTTGCCAAGAAGAGGGCAGCAGCCACGGAAACCGAGTCAACGTCTGCATGAATGGTGTGTATTGATTCGGGCTGACCCGAACTACAAAAACCGTTGTCCAAGACCCGACAGTTACAGACAGAACCACCTGATTGCTCGGATAGACAGTTCAAAATAGAATTTTGGCTTCGTTTCCAGCACTGTATTTTCAAAGGAAACTGTTCATTCTGTCATTTACATGGTTACAAGAAATTAAACATGTTTATTTACATTTCTTTTGGCTGTCTCTTAATTTTCTTGACTGTTGTATAATATCACTCACTTTTATTTGCGTTGACCTCTGTATTAGTGTTTATAAATGTCAAATGTCATTGAAGTTTAGGGTTTATATCAATTTTACTATGAAGTTTTAAAATGAGTCAATCTTAACCCTACATTTTAGTTTACATCGGATTGATTGAATGATATGAAAATAAAATTTTATTTTATCTCGTCATCTCCCCATTAAAATTAAGGTTTTTTTTTTCAATTATTTTCAATGTCATTGAAAATTATCACTTTATGACGTCTTTTATGGTCACCTTAGAAATTGGTAACATCGATTTTTTGTTCTATATTATTTTATCGGTTTAATTTTTTTTTTAAATCTCTTAAAAATTACAAATTTTAAAAAAATCATTTTTGAGATTTGGGATTTTCTTAGATTTGAAGGGTTTAGGATATTTGGTCGAAAATTCAAACAATCATAAGCATTCTTTCAAGGAGACTTATAATGTATAGTGAAATTAGCTTCATTGAACGATTATGAGAGGAGATTAATCATCATAATATCAAGCTTTTAGATGAACATTTGTTGATTTTGATTAAGTTTTCGTGAAAATTTGAAAATAAAAAAAAAATATATAAAATATGACTATTTTGATATCAGTAATAACACGAATGACTATTAACGACGAACGAAGATTAACAAAAAAAAGATATTTACTTTAAATTATTTCACATATGATAATATGAATATGATGAGATAGTTTCATTAATAAATTATTTGGGTTTGGTGCAAGAAAAAAATAGGGAAATATGGATTTAGTTTCAAGTATAATCCGACTAACTTCTAACACGTTGAAGGAAATTATGAGATTAGTTAGGATTTTCTTTTCTTAGTAGCGGAAATTTCAATTATAATTCAAATTGGATCATAAATAGTTTAATTTATATTTGTTAATTTACTTTATCGTGCAATTCAATCCTGAATCGTCGTATCTAAAAATATAAAGCCCTCTAAAACCCTAATCGAACCCCTTTTTCCTTCGGTCGGAGTCGTAAAAAGAAACGAAGAAAACGAGAAGGATGAGCTCCTTCAGCAACACCACCAACTTCGACAGCCTGCTGCTGCAATCCCTGATGGGAAGACTCCAAATCCGTCCCCCTACCAATATAAGCAATTCTTTCCTCAACCAATCCCTCGAAGACCTCCTTTTCGACGCTGCCAACTTATCGGACTCCGATTCCGACGATTCCGACAAAACCCAGCTCGCCAAAGAGGAATCCAAGCTTGAAAAAGAGATCATTCGGATCATCCTTTCGGGTAAAACAGACTCTTTGAAACCCAACTCCGGTCAAGCTGTCAACATCAACGACCACCATATTTGCATCACTTTCCACGAAGAGAATGGATCGGATTATCGGGTCTGGGAGTGGCATGGCCATATAATGTTGTTTGATGAAGAAAATGGGTATAGTCCTGAATACATTTATGGGAATTACTTTGAGAGGTTGCAAGGGAAGACAACTGTTAATGGTGACAAAAAAAAGGAGGAGGAAGAGGAGAAAGTTGTGAATTTGGGATTGAGGGATTTGATTGATGGCGGTGATGATTCAGGTCGGGGTCGGATTCTTCATAGGAATATCAATGCCGGTTCTCCAAGGTTTATATAATCTATAACCTTTTCTTTGTAATTGCAGTAAAGTTTGATGTTTATGATGTTTTGAAATATTTGATTCATTTGCTTCTGGTTTTCCCTTGTTCATATGAAAAGCAGGTCTTAAGCACATTTCTCACCTTTAGTTATAGTGTCGATGGTGTTTAAATATATAGTGATGGCAATGATGCCAGATAGAATTGGCTTTTGGTCGAGTATTACTTTTGCGAATTCGTGTAATTATGACGATGCTGACTGTGAACTTGCTGCCGATTATGGCATGCTATGAATCTCTTGCATTTGCAATGATATCGAACCTTTTTCATGCTAGTATTCAGGATGAAGGTTTATATTATGTGTTTTTCATGTTCATTTTGTGTCCATTTCGTGTCTTATAATTATAGCACAAACATAGAATGTTTAATGACATTCATTTCACATGATATGAAAACAATTGAATCATTAATTTTTATCATTCTGCAGGTAAATGAATTTGCATGAACTGTTGACTGCTTACTTATTTTCCTGATGTCTTATTTTCAACCTTCAATGAACTCAACACCTCTGTTGGACACAATATATGCTAGGAAAGAAGCTGGTGTTTTTGGATCTTAAGAAACTGAGGGCTTATTTGATGTTTTGGCATCAATTTGTTCGATTTTAGTTCGGTGTAATCCATGTATATCTTATTCTATGTTCACAATATGCATACTCGCATTCAAGTGTAAATTTTGCCATTGTTTCCGAAAACCATCTTAGGTTACTGTAATGGTCCTTGAAGAATTGTTGTGTTAGCAATCTGCAATGATTGAATGTTCTATTCATTCATTTTTTCTTTTTCCATTTGAACTTGACAGGATATAGATTGGAAGTTTACATCGGCTTTTCTGGTTTCGAAAGGGGAAGGCTATCACTCAATGGCCAATTCAGTTAAAGATATTCCTGTTGATATCATGCTGATCAAAATATGAAAGTTAAAATGCAACAGAACTTGTTTTCTTTGTATGAAGAGACCTAATTTTGTTCAAGCAGGGTAGTTTCTTATTTCGTGTTTTTTTTTACTGTCAATATGCATAAATCTGTTGGTTACATCAATGTTATTTGGATTTCAATATAAAGGTTGAACATGGTTTTGTGTCGAACACAAATATGATGGTTTTTCTCCGAGATTTTCATGTATTTAGAGATACTTGAAGGATTTTATCTTCGTTTTCATGATCGTGTATGTATTGGAGGATTCTAATGCAAGCTGAATATCTTCATATAAATAAATAGGACAAATTTAAAACTGAAACATTCTAAAAGAGCGAGAATAAACCTTTGTTTCTCCTCGTTTGTTTATTTTTAAGCTTGTCCATGTTTGTTAAGAATTTTAAATTTTTGTGTTTGTTCACTTAATGTGTGTGAATATATTTGTTCTGGATATCCAGTAACACTAAATTAATATATTCATGAATATTAAAAAAACATTTAATTGAATATACTTGCGAATATTTGGTTTCTGTATTGACTGCTATTTTATCTGTTTATGTTTTGGTTTTCTGGATCTTAGGATTTTGAAACCGTACTTTGTTCCTTGGTGATGTGGTTTTGATTTTGTTCGATGAGTACAAGGTAATATCTGTTTAAAGATAACTCTTAATCTTTTGAGATCGAATGCTCATAGTTTTGATATTTTTAGTGTTCGAATCTGAAACCTCAAGAAATAATAACAATTCCTTTCCTACCGACACGGGAGATATTGCTTGATTTCTTGTTTAATATTTTGTTAAGTTGATATGTTGATCCAATCTGTGTGCACTTCTCGGCAGTGTCATATACGAGTATGCTCCATTTTTTAGTACTCCTTTTCACATATTTAGAGGACCATATCCCATGTTTGAGGAGAAGCAGAAACAAGTTATTGTGGAGAAGGTTGGTCAGCCAACCGAGGCGTACGAGAGTTTTACAAAAAGTCTTCCCGCTGATGAATATCAATATGCTGTATTCGATTTGGGTTTTCTAACGCCTGAGAATGTCCAAATGAGAATGATCTTTTTCATTGCACGGTACTGCATGTTTCTCAATCTTTACCCAATTATCTTTACATTAGTGGTATTTTGCTCTTATCGCACTGTTGTCCTGTGAAGGTCTCCCGATGCATCAAAATGTGATTCATCTTTGCAATCTTCACATTTTGAACGGATAATCGGCAAAAATGGATTTAAAATAGCCCGAGGAAGAGCAGTTGGGATCCTCAAGAAACTATTTCCTGGCAAACGAAGAGGGCAGTTCCGGGGGGAAATCCGCACGCAAACTGAGCGATATCAACGTAGTTGACGAGCAGGCACTTACCTAAAAAAAACCCCATTGAATCCCATCTCGAATGTTTTCGTTTTTGTAATTTGTTGTTTCATAATATTGAACTGAAGCATCAGAACGACATTGCAGCTTTGATAAATAGTTACAAAAGTTTATACCCTAAATGGGTTTTTGATCTAAGGTAGTTTAGAACTGTTTTTCTTTCTCGAAATTGAATGTTGAATTAATTTTCAAGTGCTTTTGTGTTCTCTGACTTCTTTCCAGGTCTGGGTTTGGCCTTCTCATGTATGGGTTGGGGTCAAAGAAATCGTTGCTTGAAGATTTTGCTTCAAGTGCTTTGGCAGAGTATTCTGTTGTTGTAATTAATGGATACCTTCAATCGATTAATATAAAAACAGGTGCTTTTCCTTTCTGAAGATTCTTTGAGCTCTCATTTTGAAATTATTTAGCACACAATGTTGTTAATGTAGGTTATAATATCCTTGGCTGAGATTCTAATGGAACAGTTAAAATGGAAAGGGAAGGCTCCATCAGGGAACTTGCCCAAGCTTCCACAGCCGTTTAGTTCTAGATCTATGGATGATCTTTTCGTGTTTTTATATGGACCGGAGATGGATGAGGATGATAGTTTCATATGTGGTGTTGTTAACAATATTGATGGACCTGGGTTAAGAGATTTCGAAACTCAACAATATCTTGCACGGCTTGCTTCCTGTTCTTATATTCGTGTTGTTGCCTCTATTGAGCATGTTAATACACCACTTTGTAAGTAAACTCTTGTTTCTGTTGTCAGCTAATGGGTAGGTTAGCTAGCTCATTTTAATTGTCGACATCAATGCTTATTAGTTAAAGGATGTGGGTTTCCATGGCAACGATTTCATATGCTTTAATGACAGAGAGAAGTAGGATAGGGTGGCTGCAGCCATTTGTTATATGGTTTTCAAGTATCAAGTTTCATTTTAGTTTTGAACATATCAAACATAGTAGACGGAAATGTGTTTTCCATAGACCCGACCAGGCAATCATGGAGAAAAAGACCTCTCTTGGGAGGTTGGAGGGGTCATCAGTAACTCTTATGTTACTTTTGAGTAGATTAAGTTCCCTTCTCGAGAGGAATGCAGAGATTTAGCATTGTAGAGTGCAAAGATTTTCATGTAGCTTACCTGATTCTAATAATTTCAACTTGGCATTTGATGTTAGTGTGGGACAAGAAGATGGTTCGTACGCAATCTAACTGTTACTGGTATCAAGGTCCGACATTTGCACCTTACAAGGTCGAGGGGCTCTTTTTTTCCTATGATTCTTTCACATGGTAGTAGCAACCACAGTGTCAAAACAGCTGTGATAGTTTTACAGAGTTTGACCCCGAATGCTCAGAGTGTGTTTCGCATCCTTGCAGAATATCAACCGTCTTATCCGGATGAAGAAGGTAAAGTACTTGTCTCGAATGTGGAGTATCATTTCTGTCATTTTAGGTCTTACTGCTGTTAAATTGTATGTTTCAACCTTCTAGGGATGGCAATAGATAATCTGTACACTATGTCCCGAGAGTGCTTCCTTGTGAGTAGCCAGGTTCCACTGAATGCCCACTTGACCGAGTTCAAAGACCACGAGCTAGTTAAGACCAGAAGGCATCCGATGGCCATGATTGCTTCTACATTCCTCTTGCAAATGAAGCCCTTCAAAAGTTATCTGAGATAAGTTGATCTATCTGTTATTTTACGAATCTAACGAAGGCACTTGTCGTGATGGTAGCCTACTCCTTGTTTGCGTGATCGATTCCAACGAAGACACTTGTCATGATGTAGCTCGGGAAGCACCATGCAAGGTCGGCCTTGATCCAGGTAAAATGGTGATTTGTGGTTGTTTCTTTCTAAGGTTTAAATTTACAGTTCTTAAGAGTGTAACGTGTATTATTATTATACTCGATACTCGTTTCTAAATTCGATAAGTTATCACATGTATTAACGAAATTTTTAAGTCTCAACTTCACAGGCGGTTTAAAAATTGTTTGGGGGACAATTTTGGAATACCCGCACCAATGTTTGAAAGGACACTGACCCCTTCGATTTGCGGTCACTTTCAGACCATGTGCCCTTAAAATCTCCAGAGACATGTTTGCAGTGAAAGGATCCGGTCTCTAGATTTTTTAGTTGTCGTATTACTTTTGAAACAAATGTCACATTCATTTGAGTTTTACTTTAAACGGTAAGTTTATTATTATGATACTCATGAGAATATAAATTTTTATATATTCATATACTTTTATCTAGTGATAAATGATAACTTGCGATAAATTTAATATACGGTTAAAAAATATATTATCGTTTTGTTATTATTTAAACAAAAAATCGGTAAAAATTTACCGAAATATTATTATTTTTATCGGTTTTGTTATTTTTTCTATCGATTTTGTTATTGTTGGCCACTTTACCGGAAATGTTAAAAAATATTGATGTTTCAGGTAGAAATTATAATATTTTAGGTAATTTTTTATCGGTTTTGTTATTATTTAAATAACAAAACCGGTAACGTCTTTTTTTAATTGTATATTAAGAGTGTCGTATTATAGAACTTCCCTTATCAAGTATATTTAATTGAGATTAATTCTTTATTTTTCTGTGTAAATATTTTCTCATTTTTTTAATTTTAATATTATTCATTTATTTTTATAAATCTAAAAGTATTGAATTTATATATAACTATATTTTTTTACATAATATAATTAGATCTTATCTCTTATTTTAATATGATTAACTATTTGAAATTATTAAGGGTGGGTCAGGAAAACAGGGTCCTAATGGCGTGACATGCTGGTCCTTACTAGAAACCTCACGTGCAATGTAGCCCATATTAGTCATCATTACAAGGACAAGAATCTCTATGTCGTTGTTCTTTCAATATCATCCATTACATATGAATTCATGAAATTTAAGAAAAAATATATTAAAAAATTAATAATTATAATATTATAAAATTATTGAAATAGGTCATCTATTAATTGGATGTAACCCTCCTCCAACATCCTTTAGTTAATATTATGCAGATACAAATATTTTCAAAACGTTTCGTACAAATTCTTTAACTCGTGAACAAATGATATTTAGTAGACTTTTGTACATGAAAAACTGAAAAAAAATAAACTTTCTTCATAAATAATATTAATATATTTAAAACTCATTTTATAAATTTGTATCGATAAAATCGACCATCGATAAATATAAATATCTTTTAAAAATAGAATAAGGTGAATAAAAGAAAGAAACTTTTGTAAATTTGAAGCAATTATTTTGTTATTCATAATGTACTATAGTCTTGCCAATAAATGGACAAAAACAAAGTCAAAATCACGAAGAAAAAACTACAGAAAATAAACAGTATTATGTCCATCTTATCAAAATTCACGAATAATCTTTGTTGCGTTTGAGGACAAATTTTCAAACCAAACAAAAATAAAATCGTAATACATTAAATATAAATTTTATTAAATATTGTAATGTAATTTTATAAATTTGACTTTACTTAAAAAAAATTAAGTTCAAGTCAAGTTATAAAGTATAAATTAAATAACTTAAATTCTTTAATAATTAGTATATTAATTTTTAAGTTAGAGTTGAGTCACTCTATATGATTTACATATATATATTACGTATGAAAATATATATATACATAAATATACCTATATTGTATATAATAATAAAAATCTATTTAATATGAAATCAAATAATATTATAAATATTTATAAAAATTCGAATTTAAATTATAAATTAAAACTCGTAACTTAAATAACTCAAAAAAAATTTTCGTACGCTCACCCTAATTGTATCTTAAATTTTGTTCTAATTGGTTGAAAAATTTCATGAAATAATTTATTTAGTGAAAAGTTAAATTTAGAAGGAAAAAAATAAGTATAATGAATACATACATTATTATAATATAATAATGCTTATTTTATTAAAATATTATTAAATTTATTAATTTATTACAAATTCACAAGGATTATTTGATGATGGTTTGATAAATTTAATAAGTATATTATAATTTTTTTAAATTTGATTATGAAAACAATATTTAATATTGTTCTAAATATAAATATCAAATAAAAGATAATTCAGTTGAGAGATAAATAAAAGGAAATGCAAGCAATAATAATTATAGAAAGAAAAAGAGTTTCGACACAAATTCACATTATTTACAGCCCCGAAATTCCCATTTTCCAAGGCATGCGATTGCAAACAACATCAGCCATGCACGATGATCACGATACAGGAACGAACTGAAAGGTAAACAAGTTCAACCGTCACAAATCAAGCAATTAAACCGGTTTTTAATAATCGGTGACGGGGAGTTGTTCATGTCCGGTTTGGTTGATGAATAGGAACTCGTATATCAGACCGGCGAGACCACCGCCGATAAGCGGTCCAACCCAGTAGATCCAGTGGTTGTTCCAGGACCAGCTGACCAAAGCCGGTCCGAATGAAACGGCAGGGTTCATTGAGGCTCCATCGAAGGCACCACCGGCTAAGATATTGGCCCCCACAATTAAACCGATCGCCAACGGGGCGATCACTCCGATGTTTCCTCTTTTAGGATCGACGGCGGTGGCGTAGACAGTGTAGACCAATCCGAAAGTCATCACGATCTCGAAAACGACAGCGTTCCACACTCCTACTCCAGCTGACAGTCCAAAAGCTGGCACGGCCTGCGAAACACAGAGGATTAAATCTTAAATTTTATTATGATACAGGTACTAAAATTTAAATTAGACCCTGATTTTATAACGGAAGATAGTTACCAGATAGCCAGTAGAGAACTTAAGTAAGAGGCAAGCGACGGTGGAGCCAAGGAGTTGTGCGATCCAATAAAGGATGCCACGCAACAGAGTGATGTTCCCGCCGACGAAAGCGCCGAACGTGACGGCGGGGTTGACGTGGCCGCCGGAGATGTTGGCGCCGACGGCTACAGCGACGAAAAGTGCGAAGCCGTGAGCTATAGAGGCGGAAATGAGTCCCGCCGGAGTGGTTGCTCCGTTTTCGGTGAGCTTGTTAAAGGCCATGCCCGAGCCTGACCCTGCGAAAACAAAGATCAGCGTCGAGAAGAACTCAGCCAAAGCTGCTTTAAGCGCGTCCGGGTGAGTCACCTCTCCCGGTCCTCCCACGGCTATGTTTCTGAGCGGCATGATTAACGTCTGATTGAAATCAAGCAGTGGGGTGTGGAGAACGAAGAACGGAGTGTTGTGTGAGTGCCGGTATGGTCTGGTGATACCCGCTTATAAGCTCCATGTCTTATATAAAAGGAGTGGACTATGGTTACTGGGACTAATCCGTCCCGGTTTACATTACTTTTTAATTTGTTTTATTAAAGGTTTTTTATTCCTAAATTTGTTTTTCAATTAGGCACCTACACTTGTCTTTAAAGTTTGATATGGCAACTCCTGAACTTGACATCTTGGAACCTAAACTTCAATGTTTATCCAAATAGGTATTCAAGGTAACTAATTTATTTTATCTATAAAATCAAATTCATAAATTGATTTAAATCTAAAATTAAGCTGAAGAATCTAATTAGGCAAAAAAAACTTAGGTATCAAAGGGGTTTTTGTCCGATCTAGGGATAAATGTACGCTTTTATATCAATAGTACGAATTTAGAAAGTTACATTAGAAATTTAGGAGATACGAAATCATATTACTCATATAAAATACAAAGAATTACGTGAGAATTTAAAATTTATAAGGGATGCACACCCAAACATCCCCTCGATCCATCATTGCTCCAATCTTGGACTTCTTAATTCAATTTAATAGCTAGATTTTAGTTTTTTTTATCCAAATTAGTACTCAATAATAAATGTTTTATTTGAATCACAAATTCAAATTCATGTATCAATTTGAACCTAAAAACTAAGTTCAAATAACTAATTAGATAAGAAAATTTTATGTTAGTATTTAAACTAAAATGACAAATATTATTAATTATCCAAACTAACTAATAGTAATATAAAAATATGGTAACAAAATTACATGAAATAAAGAGTATAAGTTAAATTCAAAGTTTTAGCATAGTAAAGGGATGGAATTACAATTAGACCAAAAGAGTTTAAAATTTTATTTATAATTAATTTATTTTGAATTATTCGTTAAATGGAATCAGTAAACTGATGGGAAGTTCTGTCGTACGACAGTTTTAATATACAGCTAAAAAAAGACGCTATCAGAAATATTATTATTTTTTAACATTTTCGTAAAAAATTACCTAAAACATTATTTTTTACCTAAAACATTAATATTTTTTAACATTTCCGGTAAAATGCCCAATATTAACATTTTCGATAGAAAAAAATAATGTTTTAGGTAACGCTTTATCACATATATTAATAAATCCGATAAAACGTATAATAATAATATTTTTGATAAAAAATAATAATATTTTAGATATTTTTTACTAAAAATATTAAAAAATAATAATATTTTCGATAACATATTTTATTAACAGTAGATTATATTTAAAATGTGGTATGTGAAACTTCCCTAAACTGATTTAGCCGAGCAGCCGGTCGTTCTGCTAAGACAGCTAAGCTCGACATCGACAAATGAATAGACAAATGACACGTGTTCGTGTCGGATAAGAGCTACGTAATGTGCGGCGTCGGTCCAATTTCTGTTCCTAATTTCTCGTCCCTTCCAAAATTTATTTATCAAAATGATCTTTCATATATATTTCAATGACTTTTTAAATGAAAATAGAGAAGGGATAAGATTTCTGCTTGGAAGCCTCATCAGAGACATTGTCTTGTCATTACGCAATATGATTGTGACACGTGGAGTAGAGCAAGCGGTTAACTTTATCCAACGACTGAATTGTTTTTAGGTTTCCAACTCATAGCTTGTGTGTCACTCTAACTCATACTATTAGGGTTAATTGCACTAGAAGCACCAAACTATGACCATAATTTCAGATTGGTCCTTAAACTTTAAAATACTTTTATTTACTTTTTAAAATATTAGTGTTGTATCAATTCGATCATCCTATCAACTTTATATTAGCTTAAACGTTAAATGCAGCTTGAATCTAGCATAGGATATTATGTGGATTGAATTATATATGTATTTACATATTACATGAATAATTTATATGTTATTCAATTGATATATTATTTATTTTAATCATAAATCAAATTCAAATTCATTTAACTAGGGCTGTTCATTTTTTAGTTCGGTTAATTCGGTCGGCCACCGAACTAATTCGGTTAGGGAACGGTTAAGAAATTTTTTAGAATTTGGTTAATGATTAATTCGGTTAGAAATCGATTAATTAACCAAATTAACCGAAATTAAATTTTAAATATATTATATATAACATATGACTCAGCCCAAACCATTTAAAACCCAATTAATAATTTAAGATCCAATAACTTTTAAACCTAAATCAATATTAATTAATTAAAAAATCCATATAAATTTTTTATTTTATAATTATATATTATTTAAATTAATTTTAAATTGTTTTTTGAATTAAAAAATTCAATTTTTATATAAATTAGAAATTTTTAAAAATTTCGGTTAATTCGAAAATTAACCGAAATTTATTCAGTTCGGTTAATATTTTCAAAAAAAAAGTTTGGTTCGATTAACGGTTAAAAAAATTCGGTTAATTCGATTCGGTTGATCACCGTTTTAACAGAATGAACACCCTCACATTTAGCCGAAAAATTAAAATAATTTCCAAGTTGCAATCAAACCAAACTTGTAAGACCCTTACTTGCTAGCCGCTGCACTCCAATATATATATTTGTTCTAGTTAAAGAATATTATCTTCTTTGTTAAGATGATAATGAAATTAACTTAACAATTCATTAAACCCAAATTGTCAATTTCATGGAGGAAATTAATTAACATCTGAATATCTTAAATGATTCGACTTTTTTGGGACCTAATCCATCATGATTGATTAAATTAAGACAGTTTTTTTCTATGATTATATTTTAATTTTGTTTAAGCAAAGTTGTTAGGGTATTTGCATTAATTTATTATCACAATTAATCATCGATATATATATATATATATATATAAAAGATTTGTTTATATAGCACGAACCAAACAACTCCAATGATTAAGAGATTTATTATTATCTCTGGAGATCCCGAGTTTGAGCATAGCATATGCATAGATATGAGTGTTCATTGTCAAATGATTGAGAGTCTTTAAACATTTATTATCTTGTATTAACTCCAGATTTATATATAAAAAAAGATTCGTTTACATAATCTAAAATTTCTAAATTTTTCATATTTTTTGAATCGTTGAATGAGTAAAAATAAAGTAATGAGATTTTACGGAGAAAAAAGGAAGTAGAGTATCTTCAATTTAAAAACTTTAATATCAACTATTAAACTTAATTAATCCAACGATCTTAAAAGTTTTAAACGAGGTAGGATCTATTGACACAAGTTGTTCGAGAGAATTGTTCTTGTAATAAATATTTACAATACCTAAATTTAGATTAGTTGATTAATAGATCAGATACCGAGAATTATTTATTTATATAGCTGAGGGAGGGCTTAGGGTTTGATTGAGCAACTTGGTAGAATGGCTATATATATATATCATTGTTCAAAATTGTTAATTGCAATTGCTAACTAAAGATGTCCCATTTGAATATATGTATATATATATATATAGTTCATAGGACTTTAGTTTTAATATAAGGAAAAAGAAGTACCTAATATGCAAATTTTATTTTATTTCTATTAAAAAAAGCTTAATTGATCAGACGAAAGAATCTTAGATTTCTTTATTCTCAGCATATTCCACGACCTTATATTATGCCAATTGGCAAGTAATAGTTGGTAAAGCTTAAGCTTAAGCACAATTACTTATTTAAATATAAGCAATGGGGTCCTCACCAAAGATAAGCCCATAAATAACAAAGAGTAACTAGGGGTGTTTGTGTGGCTCTGAATGGAACATTCAATGTTGAATGCTGAACCGTTCAGTATTTAGCGTGTTTGTTTCTAAACTATGAATGAAGACTGTGTTGAATGATTCAGCAAAACAGTACTGAATGATTCAACATTAAAGTACATTCCGAATGATTCAGAGCTATTATCAAACAACATGTCACATTCAGAGCTAATTCATACAGAGCATCTGAATCATTCAGGCCATTGAATCATTCCGTGTTTAATCATTTTGAAGAAAACAAACAACCCCTAAAATTATTTTTAGTGTGTTTGAAGTTCCGGATCTTTTAAAAATATAATTTAAACTTCTAAAAGTAAATTATGTTTACTTAATATCTTAAATTGAGAAAATATATCATTGAATTGAAAAATTGAATCAATTAAGTTTTTTTATCAATCTTAACTGTTCAGTCTTAACTAGGGATAAGTATGGGTTGGATTAGATCGGATTTATATTTGATCCGAACTTGACTTGGGTATTCTATCATCCCACCCGTCACCCGATTTGAACCCGCTTTGATTTTTGAAGTAAAAATTTACATTCGACCACTCGACATACATATATAAATTCTATTTTTTAGGTAAAACAATAATCTATTTTTTTATATTATTACAATTATATTTAAATATATAAGATAAAAATTTATTATTTTTATTGGGTCGAGTAGAATATTTTTCACTCTAAACCTACTGAAACTTAAATTATATTATTACAATTAAAATACCGTAATTTATATTATAATTTTGAGTAATATGACATGTACCTTTTACAAGTTAGGAAAATTGCTTATATAACAATCTGCATTTAGTCGCATCACTCATTTTCTTGTGTAAAGCTTGAGTTGAAATTGTAGATTATTTTTGGACAAAATATTTTTAAATTTATTGTATAATAATTTATTAATTGCAATCTGGTTCAAGTTAGGTGATCATATTAGAGAAGACTTTTCCCAAGTTTAGGAAATATTATGTTTTAACCCTTCAAAAATTTATAATTCATTTCTAATCCCAAAAACTTGTTGATTTTCTCCCGGATGACATTCGAAAATCTGTTCTCAATTCTCAACCTGCAACATTTTTTATTTTTTAAATATGATCCAAGCTGTAAGTGTCCCTTCACCTATATGTTTAACTGTCTAAATAGAGATTAATTTATCCTCCATACACATACGTACGTACGTACATACATACTGAATCGATCAATGAAAGAGATCCATGAATATATAATTAACAGGGATAGAAATTTATATATATATAATACATGCATGATCTCTTCACAATCTGTCAAAGGTGAAAGCTTGAAAAGCCATAAACATGGCTGCCTGGGGTATATATATGTAATAAGTCATCCTTGAATGTTGAAGCCTCTGTATTGCTGTAATTTAAGAACAACAGCCACCGGCAGGAGGCGACTGGTACTCTTGCTTTAAGATGTTTCTTTTTCCAACGGTGTACCCTTCTTCCAAAAGACTAGGAACTTCCATTATCTGTTAACATGGACGAAACCAAGATCAAACTTCATTTGGTCCGTTCGTGTCTATTAAGACAGTTCCGTACTCCATTAAAATTGAATATGAAAATTGAAACGAATGTTCGAAGAAAAGGGAAGAGTAGAATGAACCTTAAGTGCAAGCTCTTGAAAGCATTGACCAACGTTTTCTCTTGTTTTAGCGCTGCATTCAATGAACGTACATCCAAGCTCCTCTGCAAGCGCCATCCCTTCTTCTCTACTTACGGCCCTCTCGGAATCCTGACACGTCACGGTTTCTTAATTTCACTTATGTAATAAATTTTTTTCATAAGACTAATTTATAGATTTTAGATTTCTTAAGGGTCTGAAGGACAATTTATCCTTTTTAGGGGTCCAAACCCCTTCGCTCCGCCCCTGTTTACAAGTTAAAAGAGTATCCTTTGGAATGAAAATCAACAACGCTATAACTATATTACAGATAGTTTGAACAAAATGCAGTGTTGGAGAAACATAGATTAATATTTCGGATTGGAAAGAGATGATGAGACTTACTCGATCGACTTTATTTCCGACGAGCATCTTAACACAGTCTTGATTAGTAGCATAGAGCTCCACTTCTTTGGCCCAAATGTCGGACAAATTTGTGAACGTTTCTCCCCGTGTTACATCATAAACTGCAACCAAAAGCCAAGATTTACTCAGACTCGAGTGTAAGTTGTCGATTTTGGGGTTAACAAGTTGACAACCACGCTACTAATACAGACCGAAAGTAGCTTTAGATAATTAGCTACACACAACCCCCGAAGGAGAACAAGAAATGACCAAAGCATATCCATGCATAGAACACACCCAGCTACATTCTTCTAAACAGCGTTTGAACAGTAACGCTAGCTCAGTAACTAATAAAAGAAACAGGATACAAAACCACAAACAGAATAATAACAGCCACCAATGGAGGAACTCTCGCCAACAGTTGCATCAGAAATCATGAGAGCCGGCTCGTTAACTCATTCTATGTTGTTCGAATTCTTTATTTTTTTCCTTAAAGTATTCATATCCGACACAGATTTTGAATAAGAGACATAACCCTCCGAACATCTTTCGAATACATAAAAGAGCTATAAGAAAATTGAACATACCCGTATCGAGACACATATCTACATCTAACATACTCATAACGGACTAACACAAAGAATTTGAAACTTTCACTATGATGATGAAATTACCGAGTATGATGCCTTGGGCGCCTCTATAATATGAGCTTGTTAATGTTCGGAACCTTTCCTGTCCAGCTACCACAAGCATTATCGATCCAAATATCATTCATACAATCCAAGATCAGGTTAATCGGGCATCGGTAACAGCAAAATCAAAATCCCAAACTCATTTCAATTGATTAATCTAAGATCAAATGTGAATGTATGTTTGTGTTGAATGGCTTATATGAGGAAGGTTTACAACAATAACAACAACAAAACCCAATTCCCATATGCAATGGGGTAAGGGGGAGGTAGGGTAGTAGGCTGCCCCCAACGCCAGGTTGAGAGTAGCTTCCGTGGAAGACCTCCGGCAGTCAGAAAATTAAAAATATAGATAAAATGCAAAGCATGTATAAATAAATACATAAATACATAGTTGAACAATATTCATATGCAGTCATAAATATCATTAATATTATATGCGCGTTTGAAATGGGAAGTAATCCCTGCAAATAAATCCCTGCGAAAAAATCTCTGCATACATAGCTAACGGTTTAATAGATCCAAATTCATGTTGTAACTCGATTGAGTTTCACTTTTAAAGTTTAAACAAACTTGATTAGACTTGTTTATCTAGTGGGCTAGATTCTCATGCTCCACTTTGAAGATGATTATTTTTGTTCGAGCTCGAGTTCAAATAGAGATTTTAGAGCTCAATAATATGTTCTAACAACAAAAATATTTACGAGGCTCAGAAGCTACTTGCAGCTCGAGCTTTCTTTATTAGGCTCGTTTACTTAATAGAAAATGAACTTAATCCGAATCAAACTTAAGTAACTTATGAGCACGAGCCATATTATCTCCCATCCAAACTAACGAAGGTTATTGTAAGTATAGACAATTCAATGAACCATTCAAACTTAATCCGATAGTTCTAAGGTCGTAGTTCATCATTGATATCGTCGACGGTGCCGAGACAAAACTCCTTAACATGGTACAATTTTATTCAACTAAAATTACTTTATTCATACTACTATATATATATCTAGAGTTCTACAATTTGAGGTTCTCTTGCATAATCTTAAAATTCTTTTCCTACTCGTAGTGTTTTTATTCTTTCATTGTTCTAAAATCGTTTACTTATTATTATGCATAATAAAATTCAATAAAACTACACAAAATATATACACACACTATTAAACACATACATACCAGTATCCCAAATAGTAAGCTTTAACCTCTTGCCACCAACGGTTAACAACTTGATCTTAAAATCCACACCTATAAACAAAGATTCAAAACAGAGAAACAAAAACCCAAATGAAAAATTTCGCAGATAAAACGAAATCAAAATACCCAGAACTCAAGAGGAAAAAAAGTAGAGAGAATTGAACCAATGGTGGGAGCTAAATCATCTGAAGCAGCTGAAATGAAGCTAACGAGCAAACTACTTTTGCCCACAGCCGAGTCTCCGATCAACAAGATCTTGAACGAAAGATCATAGTTTCCACTACTCTGTCCCGTAGATGATCCCATTTCGATTGTATCAGTGATGAACAATCCAAAATTTTCTTTAGAAAAAAGCCTTTGGGGTATGAGATGAATGGCTTGGTTTTCTCGAAAGTGGAATGAAAAAGGAATTTAAATGTAAATATATAAAGGGAAAGAAAGAGAACCAAAGTATTGCTTGAAAGAGAAGCCAAGGGGAAACGGCTACCAGAGGAACACCTGACACCAACGTTATTCCTTCCTTTTTCTTTCGTTTTTCATATTTTTAATGAATTTACACAATTTCATTGATGCGTTGTCGTTTACAGAGATATTGGGGACTTGGTACTGTGAATGGCGGGAGGGTCCTACGGTTAGAATAGTACCGACGTAGAACGCGGGAGGAGTGGCGCGTGTTTTTGACGTTCCAACCGTCTGGTGAAAGGGTATTTTCATGCACTAAAGGGTTAATTAAATTAGTGTTAAAAAATATACAATTTAGACATCACCTTGATTTTAAATAAATGAATTTGGAGTTAATGTAAACTGAGTTATTTTTATTAATAAATGAATCTAATCGAACATAATCGAGTGCGGTTCAAAGGTTTGATTTCTTTCATCTCTAGACTCTAATTATTCTTCAGTTTCAAAAAGAGAAAATTAAATATATATAAAATATTTTTTTATCTTAAGTTTATCTTTTAAATAAACTCAAGTCGAATTTAATTTTGTTTTATAAATAATCTAGTCTTATAGAGTTGAGTTGAAACCTATCAAGTTTGGGTCCAACATCGATCTCTAATTATATAATATAGAGATGGATCGAGAGGACCACTGGGGTTCTCTAATTATATAATATAGAGATGGATCGAGAGGACCACTGGGGTAGTCGTTCCCCTAAACATTTTAAATTATTATATATCTTATATATTATTTATTAATGATATATTTTCTTTTTTAAATTTTGAAAATTCACTTATAATATAAAATTATGCGTAGTACGATTATGATATCCTACGTGAACAATTTAAGATTTTCAATAGAATTAGAGGGAAAAAAATATTCAGATCAAAGATATTGTTTATATTAATGTTTCAATTTTATAAATTCGCACAGTATCTTTCGGTGAATCATATTTCATAAATTTTCTCCATAGAACTTGCTAAAACTCTCACCAAAACAACATATCAACTTAATTATGTTTAAATTGCTATATATCTATTTTATTTAAATGAAATACTTATATTTATGTCGAACATAATGAAGAAAGTCAGGATATTATAGCACTAATTCAAAATTGCAAATTCTAGGCTTGGTACATTAAAATTTACAGTTATTAACTACACAACCAAAACGAACTATTGACACTGAGTTGATGCTTAAGAATCCTGTCCGAATTTCACAATTTGTCTTCATTTCATCCCTTCTCAGCAAATCAGTTAGTCTCTTGTAGCTCGTGAACCGAATCGAGCTTGCATTTGGAATGGACACAGGTCGAAAAGACGATGTTCGACGCGATGATCATACAACTTATAAAAGTGCTTTTGCTGTTCTTTTTTTACGGAGTCAAATCATGACCCTTTCCGGCAGAGTTTGTTCGTTCAAGTCCGGCTGGTCCTTTGTGGTGCCGTCTAATCGTTCAAGTCTGGCTGCTCTCCAGGGAACCGAGTTAGTTGATTTAAGTAACAAACCGAAGGCCGAAGAGCTCGTAGCTCTAACGACGGCGTCTGTTGAACGACTCATCTTGCTAACCAACATCCCGAACACCTAAACCATGGTAAACATTTTTCAAGCATAGTTCTTAGAACTATAGGATCAAATACAATCAAAACGCAAGAACATCTTGGGATGTAACCTGTGAGTAGTAAAGAGCTAAAATGTGTCGATCGTCTGAAACAGAGAGTATGCTGCCGGAAACATAAATAGCATTTGCTTGGATTATCGGCCAAGGTGCATCAAAAGCCTGCATCATCAAGAACTATGTTAGTACTTTTCCGGCTTCCATGACCGTCCCACATTAGGCTAAAATCTAGCACATTAACCACAACCGGCATTATGCATTAAATTACAACTCGATTGCCTTGTAGTCGTCAGAAAAAATGAACCCGGTGACTAATCGTTTAGAATGAATATGCAGTCTTGTTAGCAAAACGCAAACCTGAATGTTTGACACCATGTAAGTATCGACTCTGGAGGGAAGATTCTGCAGAAATTGCTTCGTAAAATCTCTTAAAAAGTCCTCGTAATCACTTCTGAAGGGAAGAGAAATATGATTCGTGATAACTAAATAAGAAAGACAACCATAAGTTGATATATTTCAACATCCTTTATTGCATACCGATTGTCGGACTTAATACTGTAGGAACTGAATAATGGCAGCAACCCTTCTATCTCCATTAACGGGGCGAACTGCTTGAGGGCGTTCTATTTATATAAAAAAATAACCAAAAGAAAAAGGAAAAAACAAGAAAAAAAACAAGAAAAGAAAAAGCATCATTTAGAAAGAAGCATGTTAATAAGCTTCATGCAAAGAAGGGAATGAAAAATAAGGTTATCGCTTACATGGCAGGTGCGTCTAACGGAAAGGTCATCATCGTGAAGGTGCAGTATCAAGCGTGGTAGTGTAGCATGTATCTGAAAATAGCGGTTAACGTTTGATTAGATTGATTAGATGCTAAAGGGTGCAAAACTGTACCACGAATCAAGTAGGTTGTTTTATCTAACATGATGAACAGCTCCGATGACATCTTTTATAAAGGATATTATGTGGTCATATGACCTTAGCATTAAGTTTGACAAAATATCTCCAAAGAAAGATTCAATGTAGACGGACGAGAGACCGGTTATCCTCCGAAATTTAACCGACCTATTTAGCTAAAATGACACTTAGTACCTGCTCAAGAAAAGCATCTTTATGTGCCTGAACTCCATAGTTGCTAAGTGCTCCAAATGCTGCAAAGGCATCTGCCCGCATCTTTACATTAATGGATATCTGTAGATTAAAGGGATTTCCATTACCGAATGAAGACTCTGGGTTAGGTTGTGGTTTTTGAGCCTAATCATATAAAAAGAGAGCTATTACCAGTTCATTTTTAATATCCTACTACCCCGACTTCATACAAACACGTAACTTAGCAAGGTAAACCGATTCACATGTCCTGAAGTGTTTTAAAATTGGATATCTATAGTAAACTCGCCATAATGAAAGATTGTTATAGCAAGTGAATGTACCTGTAGATTCCGAAGCCGAATAGACAGCTTAAGCAAAATGGGCTCAACAGCATCATTGGGTGATGACTCAAGAATCTACAAAAAAAGAATAAGTTCAAAATAAAATAGTAAATCGGTAGAAGAGGGATATTGAAAGATACTGGCTATGTATATTTGTATATATAATTATCTGGGGAAAACACACAGATAAAAGTGAGGTTCCTCACCGCAAGAAGAAAGAGAATGGATAAATTACCATCAGTAAGCATGAAACTGCAGTTAATTGCACTGATTCATCCAAATCGTCGAGCAATGCTAAGATTACACCCAGAACTTGACTTGTATATTGGTCGATATGAGCAGATGGTATCTACCATAGACACGGAAATAATAAAACCTTACAAAACATTAAACGTGAGAGAGAGATTACTGTAGAAGTGAATGCCTACGATTGTGACAGCAATTGAAGACTAAAAAAGGCACCTAAAATCTACAGGAATATCCGTATTGTTTACCTTCACCAATCCTTTTAGACAAAGGCATCTAACCGTTGAAAATTCATCCGAGACATGCCGGCACAACACTTCCACCATCTCTTCCAACAGGGAGCTAAACCCACTACTGCATGGTCGAAATTATCACATAAGTTTTATTTTGAAGAAAATGTGTTGACAATAATGATACCAATACCAATAACTATAAGAAGAGAAATAAAAAGGGTACGAGTAGAAGATGGAATGAACTTAAAAAATAGAACACAAAGTTCATGCCTGTGGTGAATAAACTCTGATACCGCAGCTGCTGCAGCTTCCCGTCGAAAGTTTTCTTGGAGGTTCAATGATTTCGTGAAATTTTTGCATATATTCTCTACCTGTAGAGTTAGTTACGGTGTGGGTAAATGTTTAAATGTTCACCTTTCAGTATTCCGTTGGCAATGACATCAGTCATTTTCTAAATGGTGCAACATACAGAAATATGGGAAAATGCCAAATGAATAGCATTACCTCTTTTGGTCTCTTCATAGAAATGCAGTCAGCTAAATCTCCAATAAGATTAATCCACTTTTCATTTTGCTCACTGTCTCTTGCCAAAATCTGAAGACAATTTAATTTTGTTTTTAACTTTGTATTGTTATGTGAAGTGTTCGTATCGTCAGAAAGTTCATGTACCTTTCCCATTTCAAGGTCTCCAACACATTCACAAAATGCCTTAAATGCAGTTAAAAGTGCACTGCAGCAGTTGAGAAACAAAAATTATTTACTTTTAAAAATATCACGTTCCTGATTGAAAGATGCCGATATATTTAGTAGGACACTTACTGTAGCGGTTCATGTCGACCAGAGGCAGCAAGACAATGACAACTTCCAAGTTGCAGTACAAGTGCAGCAAGAACTGAAGAGTAGCCCAGTTCAACAGCTCCCTTTCCAATTTTACCACCACCTCTGAAATTAAGATAAAAAAAAAATCATAAAACCCTGGAGATAATAATAATAATAAAAAAAAGATAATCCCGATAAATGCAATTGGTCGACATACCTAAAGAAGGAAGTAAGGGCAAAAATAGCAGCTTGCAGAATTTCATCCTCCAATTGAGTTTCAGAAAGGAGACTAGAATTCTCTCCTTTTCCATGATCACTTTTAGTGACACAAGTCTGATTAAGGACGAAGATCAGATGCTCTAAGAACAAAACTGATAGCACAGTATGTTGGGAAAATGCCTAATCAAATTAAGAAAAAAGTCAAAAACTGAAGGAATTAATTGATAGCCATCAGAAATTAAGAAAACGAAAAAAGAAAAAGAAACAGAGTAACTCACGTGGAATGCATCTTGCATTGGCCAGCCACCACGTAACCTAGATATATCTTTCGTAACAATATCCCTTCCGGCAGCTGCCAATACTTCATTAAAGACAATTTTTGCATTTGTGTTTTCAGATAGAGAGGATATCTAAAGGTAATCAAGGATATACAATGATCTCCATAAAAAGGTAATCTGTTAGTAGTTGAGAGGAAAAGAAGGATACAGCTCCGAGAACTTCAAAACGTAATTGCTTCTCAGTAACATGCCCTGCAGCTGAGAGCAAAGATTGAGCGGTTCTGCAGAAAGACTTGATCAATCATATTCACACAGATATTTAATCTATTCTTTTTATCATATGCCTAAGGGGAAAAAAACCTTGAAACATCAGTTTCACTCAGCTCAGTCCCTCGCTTTGTTACAAACTCAATAACAGCTAGGATAGCCCCTTCAGCTGACTGCTTGATTCTGTCACAAATAGCTGGCATACAAGAATGCAGTGTGTCTACAAGCTGCAAGTAATCATCATGAAAAACTGTCGCTGGTTAGTTTAAAAGTATGTACATTTCAAATATGCGAACGGAAAGATATGCCTCACCTCATCCTTCGTCAAAAGGGTACAGACAGAAGCAACAATTCTGTTAAAAACCTCTGATGGATCGATTGAAGCATCCTGAAAACACAAGAAAAATTGAGAATTAAACAGGCATGAAGTGTTACAGGATCACTTTCATTATCTTGAATTGGGAAGGTGTGGGAGATGCAACTTTAAATAGGGATGTAGATGCTAAGAATATAAACATACACTTCTCAAGATGGCTATAACGTCCTCAAGGGAGGATAAAGCAACATAGCATAACTCTATATCGCCATAAACACTAGAACCCAGTGGCTTTGGGAGTGAAAGAGATATGCTGAAGAGTTGATCAATATTCTAGTCAAAGAAAAAAAGAAGTATTAAAATATTTTTCAATTTAATAGAAATTAAATGCCATATATAAGGTAATACAAATAAAAAAATTAGAGGTACGGGCACCTCATATTTAAATAATACCAGATCTCTCCCTAGACCAATTTAATACCTTAGCAGAAATTTTTCTAATTTCAGAATCAGTGTCTGCACAGCGTGGAAGATATGTTATAACTCTATCTCCCAAAGACAGAGCTTCACGACTTGGCAATACAAATGCCGCTGGAAATTGGGAAAAAGAAAAGGGTAAACTACAATTTTAGCACCCCAACTATTATTTCTGTTCCGTTTTGGTCACCCATCTACTTTTTTTCAAAATCATACCTAATATTACATTTTGGTCACCTACCGTTAAAAAATTAACAAAACAGCAGACGTGGAACTTTTTAGTATTTTCAATAATGACATAGCATTATCTTATGGCAACAGCTCAGCATCACTATTAATTTTTTAATGGCGGGTGACCAAAATGAAACCAAATGTTAGGTATGCTTTTGAAAAAAAAAATAGTTGAGTGACCAAAGCGGAACAAAAACGATAGTTGGGGTGCTAAACGTTTAGTTTACACAAAAGAAAAAGAAAAAAGAGATTCAGTACGATTATAAAGATATAACATTTGCAAACTGTTGTTGGAAGTTTACGTACAAGGTAAGTTGGAAAAATTTCCATTCATACGGTCAATTTGCTTGCTGTGTGCGCAGCTACCATGACAGCCTAACTCACAATAGCCGCTAACACAGAACACTCGGAACTTGACAAGCATCTCATACACTGCAAGGCAACCTCTTCTTCTTTGATAATCAACAGTTGAAGAAACATACTGATCAATTTGCCTCAATATGTGCAATAGCTGCTCAGCTCGGCTTCTTCCATCCTCTCCACTAGTTGTTTCACATGTTTCAGTTAGAACGGCCATGAATCGTACAACAGTACATACACAAGATATGGAAAATTTCTAGACAATGAGATATTTTAAGAGTCTTTCCAGATGGACCCAAATTGCTCTTGATATCGCGGTCAATCAATGATGCAGGATCAAATAAATGCCAACTAAACAACACGGAGCTCTACAGTACTGAAACAAGTTAGTGAGGTAGCTAAGAAGTTACAGCCTTACAAGACCCAAAACTTATGCAAGGCTTTTCTTTCATGTCTCTACCATGTCTCTGTCTAGCCCTGGAAGAAAGGGACGGGGGAGGAGTGCACCTACCTCATTATTGGGGGCAGGAATAAAACAAATTACTCTAAAAGATTATTCTCTCTAACGGGAGACAAACTTATGTTCAAACTTCAATATACAAGCTAGTAGGATTTCAGTCACGAAACAAATTTGATTCTTGTACATCAAGAGGCCATGGATAAAGGAAATTAAAATTTTCCAATAGAAAAATTGGTATCCTTTCTTCAAGAAAGAAAAGTCGGACAAGCATGGAAAAGCCTGTTACAATAATTTTACCACCATTTTCTAGTGTGAAAAAGAGTGAGATCGACTTTTCAGATATACACAATTAAACCACAAACGATTTTACTGAGCTTCAGGCCATCATCAGATCATGCAATAAAACATTAAGGGTCCATAGAGAACATAAGACGTGTGCATATCATTCATGGTATTTATTTCCCGTGTTCCAAATATAGTGTCATTTTTTAAAATAACCTAGGAGCTCAAAATCGTCCTCACGACCAACATCACTTGATTAAATGATGGCAGTCAAGTAACTTCATGAATCAAAGAAACATGCAAGCATACTTGCAAAAATAAATAAATAAAATGAAACTGTATTTCGGCAAATACCTTGTGAGAAGAATAGCACATAGGAGAGTGATAAGGTTATCAATAAGGGGATTGATAACATCTATGGGATCTTTTGGCAAAGTGAAGAACCCCAAGGTTTCCTGTAAATATTTTCAGAAATATAGGGTTCCAAGTAAGTAACTACAGAACAAATTCACATTGTTAATATGTTTGCTAAAAATAAACTGAAAGCATTTACCTTCATAACATGATTTCTTGTTTCAATTGTCAACTTTGGCTCCACAGAAACCAAGGTGGTACAGGCATTCAAAGCAAGAGCCTAGAGAAGAAATAATAAACAGAAAATATATCATATATCACATAGTTGAGGTAATAGACCATGGATGCTACTATATCATACTATATGATAAGAAATGAAGATACTTGGGTGTGCAGAAGTTCAAGACTGGAATCAGAAAAACCATCAGTTTCATCTCGACCCATTAAGGTTAAAATATAGTCAAGCAACATGTCTCTTCTTTTCAATGGAAATGGAGCACCATTTTCAGCAGCTTTAGCGACAGCACAACCTGCATGAATTAATTTCTTATCAACATATTAAGTATGACATATGTGACACATGGAGAAATTACTAGAAGTCTACTGTTAGTTGTCATTGGCACCAAAGGTTGTTAGAGACAGTTAATAACTGAAACAGAAGTTGGTAAATCTTGGCGGTTTACCCACTTATCAATGTGAATACATTTTCTAGAATTTATATTTCTCCATTTCATTCAACTATCAGTTGTCAATGTATCCTTGCAACCATGCCTTACTGTCGAATTGTAACTAGGTTTATCCTATTGTTTTATTAAGAGTACTTATAGTTTTAGGAGTCTACTAAGATTAAAGAGTCCTCAATAACTTTATCTTTAGATAAATATTATCTCCAGTAGAGTATTTGATTGGGAGTCAATTTACTAAGTGTTAAGTAGGAGATAGAAGTGCACTGTTATTGTAGAACAGAAAATAAGAAGATTTTAAGTATATTTTTCTTCTGTTTTCTGTCATTTACAAATCATGAAGGCTACATACTGAAAACAGTCACTCTTAGGTACTCTTATGAACTTCCTTATACCTTTAACAAAGTGCATTCCTGTGCATCACTGCTTAACCTAAAACCTTTTCAACACTGATTCTATCCAGTTTCTAACTTGCAAGTAAAGTAGGATTTTAACAAACCTAGTAAATCAATAGCTGTAATAACAGCCTGCTTTGCTGTAGGGTGACGTACATGAAGAAGTCGTGAAAGCATGTTAGTTCCCTGCAAGGATGAAATGACAGCAGTATGGGTGTCACAATGAAAACAGCTGTAATTCTTAATATACATATAATACAACTTCAACAAGCTATAGTTTAGATTGGCACAACACATTGAAAATTTTGTATTGTGAGCACCAGTATTAATGCTTTTCGAACATGCAGATTCAAAGCCAATCTAAATATGAAACAGTTAATGCTTTAGATGTAAAGGGTAAACATGTAAAAAAAGGAAAACACATATCAGTACAAAATTCCGATAGTTTTAAGGATTCCTTACAATAAGTGCATCTATTCTGGCCTCAATAACCGTTGATGGAGCATATCTCGCAGCATACCCATACATCAGAGCCAAAGCAGCATGTACATCATCAGATTCTTCTGTTCTATAATTTCCGGAGAATAAAGCTAAAAACCTGCAGTAGGTAATCCTCAGACTTCAGATCAAAGATTTTTTTTTAATATGAACAACTTCAAAACAATCAAAATTATGGAATTTGATAACATGCCTATACAAATTGAAAAAATAATTATGAAATGACTCAACTGAAATTAAAAGTAGTTCTAAAGAAGTGTTGCTTCGAGTTTTTAGTTTCAGCACATGATGAAGATCAGATGGTTGACAAATAAAATAAGCAATGACATTTATCTTAGGGTTTTATTTTCTCCGAATTTTTAACAGAAAAATGCATGAACTGTTAAAATCCACTTTAAACCAAACATCATATCGCATGGTGTTGAAAATGGAATGCAGTTCGAAGCACCAAACCTTTGGAATATGCTTTGCCCAACATTATCGAGAATCTCTTTCAGCTTATCCAGCACCGTATCCAAGTGGGATGCTGCAACCTGAAAGAATGAAAATTATAAACGATAAACATGAAAATGAATAAAAATAAACTATTAAGAAAGCTTGAAGATTACCAATCCCATGGCTTTTGCTAAACCAAGCCTGTTAGTCGGAACAGCAATATTTGCTTGCTTGTACATCCAGTCAATTTTTCCACAAACATAATCCCTGTCCTTAACTTTCTGAAGAAGCATACCCAGGCATCTACAATGCAGATGGAAAAAAGAGAAAACATTCCAGAGTTCAGAATATTGTACTGAGCTTTGACTCTTCAAAAATAGAAGGTTGTGAATTTTGGGGAGTCAATACGAGAGTGAATAAACTCAGAACCTTAAGATCAGGTGCTAACAGTATTTTAAGTGGACGGTCGGTGCTTTTTGTTAGTAAGAGAAAGATCTAAAGCTCCTAATTGGTACATGATTCATTAGAGGACTTGATTCCAGTGAGATGTCAGTAATTTCAAAAGAAACCGCTCCAAGAAATTACAAGCAAAACTTATAATTCAATAAAATTGCCTTACAAAATAGTTTCCGCTGATGAAAAAGAGGGGTGATTGAGTATAACCATATGAAGTTTCAGTCCTAAATAAGAATACATGCAAAAACGCCTGGCTCAAGCTGTAGCACATTCCAATAGGATGGTGCCTTCATTTGGCACTACTCCTAAAATGGGCTATAGAGGGGTGGCCAGGTCCCAATACAACATGACATCAATTCTCTAGAATAATTTGAAAAACTTTTTGATTGCATACCAAATTTAATGTCCATATCTTGTACATCTAAGTGCTAGACCGACATAACAGAAATTCCTGTCTGCACCATAATTTTTTTTCCAATGTATCCTGGAATAACTAAATTAGAACTCGGAATGCATGACTAGAGGCTAAGATGTTATGATAGCTTCCATTGTTTAACACGCACATTCAAAAGTAAAACATACAAATCTGTATAATAGTAAATAAAAGATGAAAAGGAAATATTGTATGATTGTCATATGCCTGAAACTCAAGAAGTCAAGATTTTTTTCCTTACAGACGAAGAAAAATATCCATAAATTTGTAAACTCTAATCGGCATACTTGTAAAAGTATAACAAATCGCCATTTCTTTCCTCTAAACAAATAAGGTTTATAATTATCCTTTCCTTTTTGCCTTCCTTTTAAGAAATCCCCTAGACCAGAACAGTCCCTCTCTTTTACTCTCTTCTATTTTTCATTCATTCCCCCTCTTCTCCTGCCCTCAAGTCTTCCTTTACTACTTCACCCCAACAGACAAAAAAAGTAAGAGAACCTTTCCCCTTTTGTGATTTTTAACCCATCCTACCCCATCCAAAAAAAAAAGTGTGCCATTCTAGTTTCTTTTGCAAATTCAAGAAAGCAAAATTCAAACTAATACCGATGAAGGAATGCTGAATGTTCATCATCAGGTGTATAAAGTGCATATTGCTTGGTAAAAGCATTTCCCAGAGAAACCATCCAATCATTGTCGCGAATCACATCCAAAGATTCTGCCAGAAACTGCAATACAAGAATAATGAGATATTCCTAATTTTACTTGGCACATAAAGAGGAATTTGTAGTCCTCCCCTCCTTTCTATTGTTATGTTACAATGAAGAGTAAATTCCATTTTTCATTTACATATGAAAAAATAAATTAGGCACAAAAATAAAGTTTTCTCCAGACGACACATTGTCCATCATGTGACCAAACAATAGGGTAATTACATGAATAATTTAATAGTTAGAGACCTTACGTTGATTATCATGTCATCCCAGGTCTCTTGATAGGAAGGATTCAACTTGAGATCTTCTGGGTCACTAATATAAGCCATCAATTTTTGAATCTAGAGCTTACAAAAGACAACAATCAATTAGATGTAGATCATGCTTGCTTGGGCTAGCTTTTGATTCATGCAATACAAGTAATTTGTTTGGTTAGAAAACAACATTTTGTAAATATAATTCAGTTTCAACCAACAAGTATACACTTTTTTAAGCTTATCTTCAATGTGCTGAGCAATAAGTAAACTTTTGTTACAATAACTTATTTAACAGTTCAAGGATCAGCATATGTGGAATGATTTTTTCATACCTATATTTCTATCCCTATTAGTTTCTCTAAAACACTTCATACACCATTCTAATTTTGAATCCTCTGAAAAGAATAGAAGTTCAACTCAAACATTATTACACCAAACTCAGTCCTTATAAATCAGGATCTACCTCATCTTGCCAAAACATGTCGACGTTTCTTGGAAACAGAGGTGCCAAATGACAGAGGACCTGTGAACAATTCAAAAGTTAACAGAAGATGACAACTAGTTTATCTGACAATGGTAATCTGCTCCAACTGGAACAACCATCTTATAACAAAGAATCAATCAGATGAATTGAAAAACTGATTTCAGCCATGAAAGGGGGAAAAGTAAATATCCATGCATTTGGGCTTCACATGCCTCTATCCTTTTCACGTAGATCTGACCAGAGAAACTGCTTGCATATGACAATCAAGTTATAAAACTAAAGATCGCATGAAACACGAGAAACTCAATGTTTTCTTCACATTTTTTTAAGTGTTAAATGGTCCTAGTCTAAGTAGAAAATTCTTCCAATCCAAATTGAACATGAGCACAATTTGCAGTTGCTTTAACTTGTTAATGTCAATAAGTGATACAATTTAATTCAAGTGATAAAATATGCTTACTTTCAAAATCTGAGTTGCCAGCTGCTCCCTTGCCAAAGGATTGTGCAGAAGAACCACTAAGCGTGCAAACAGCTCCTGAAGTTATAAGTAGGATGAAAGAGATTTACTTTCATAGATACAGAACAAAAGCAAACTTATTAGGCATCATATATGATTAACACCTATCACCTCAGGATTTGGAATATCGCTGCGAGATTTACAGTCATCAACTATATTATTGTTATAAGATCTATGTCTGCATAATTCTGCAATGCATCTGCATACCTGGGTAGCAGCATAAATGACCAGTCATAAAATTTATTGAATTCTGAACATTAACATAAAAGGTGTGCCACGCACAAAACAATAAGATAGAGCCTAGAGGAAACAGGAAAACATAGAGTGGCAGTAAAGTAAAAACAAACATAAAAGACTTAAATCATTTAAGATGTATCTTACCGTGGAAACTGCACCAGTATAAGCCCGAGGAATGATCATTGTCAACAGAAATGGCCAAAGAATGTGCTGCATAAAAACTAGATATCAACTAAACGGAACTTTTTTTCTGTTAACTTTCTCTAGGCAAGACCCTTCATTAGAGATTTAATGGTTGAAGAAAGGAGAAATCAGTATACCTCCATTTCGGGAATTGTGATAGTTACAAGAAGAAGACCTTTTTCACATATTGCTCTTAATTCCATTCGAGAAGTTGGCCTTGTGTTCACCTGAGAAAACAATAACTGATGGTACATCTAACATGGCATACAAGATTATACTTTACATGATCCTGAGAATGTGTTAAAGAAAAAATCCGGCAAGTAAGATTCAAATTTTAAGGTTTGAAAGATATCTAAGCACTCTAGCTGGTTCAACAAATATGACTTATGATGATAAGAACTGATTACACTTTCAGAACGAAATATTCAAGTATTATTTATGTATTGTCTTTTTCTTCAATTTATTATATCATTATGTTCTACTTTGCTTACAACAATCAAATTAAATCAACATGTGATGCTGAATTTTCAGATTTTTAAAGTAAAACATCTAAATGGTTTTATTATAGTTAATATAGTTGGACACAAAGCTTGCCTGGGAGCTTTCAAGATCAATTTTTCCATGTTCTGATAAAGCACAATGGCGTACAAGATATTCGATAAACAATTCTGCGGATGGCCCAACCAAGTAACAATGTGAAGCCATCACCACAATCAACTATCATAAAAGAAGAAGGATGAAAAACTGGTAAGATATAAGAACATATATTTGATTAATAGCATTATGAATTGCATTCTATAAAACTACATACCAACATACCTCAGAGAGAGCCTTTCGGATGCCTAAATTTTGCTCATCTAGCAAGAATTTTACAGTATCCACTAGCAAAGCCCTCTTATTGTGCCAAGCTTCAGATGACCTTAAATGAAATGCAAGGAAGTCATGCAAGATAATGAATAAACAAAATTACGAGACAAAAAGAAAGAAATAAACCTGGGCAAAAGATGCTTCAAAACACAGAGGGCGCCAAAAGTTAGAGGTTCTTCCTTTAATCTACATTTCTGGTAGCAAAAAATAAACAAATAAAAGAAAAGGTAAGTCAAAACATTACCTATTTATCACCACTCTTCAGAAAACAAAACTGGATCTGTGTACTTATCTAACAATGATGCACAAACAGTTTGACCATTGATGTGGTATCAATAAGAAATGTGTATACATACATTCAGAAGAAAATAAAATAAATCCTCGGGGTATACAGAGCCAACCGTCAAAAAGCAACGCTGTACTTCATTGTATGTCTGCAATGCAGTATAACAATAATGATGTCGAAAAGGAAATGGAACCAAATATCAAGTAGATGAAAAGAACTTGACGTGTTCAAGTACAAACACTATTAGCGAAAAATAGCCAGCATGTAATCTTACCTTCAGTCCCACAGAAAATTTTGAATGCTCTTTGCTGTCATTATTCACGCAGATGATAGGGAGGAGTGTGCATAATATAACTGTGAGCTCCTGCAAGGAAAACATGAAACATCCACCAAGAAAATAAATAAATAAATTGACTCTCATATAGTACCAACAAAAAAATTAGTTGAACAGAAATAGGGAAGAAAAACAAGAACGAATATGAATTGTAATGAAAAATTATTAACGGGAGTAAGTACAAGTCAACAAAATTAGAAGAGAAATAAGGGCTTTACCTCAAAATCAAGCAAAGGAGGGCCAGTTTCTGAAAGTAAGGAAGCATTTAGCAGATTATATAGACTATAGGTTGCAATAAGTCCAATATCTTGATCCTTTCTATACCTGATTAAAAGGAAAAGGAAAAGGCTTTATGGTCCAAGTTGACATTTAAGTTTAAGAAAATATGAAATCTGTTAGTTCATAAATATTTTCTAGTGCATGCGTTCAAAATATAGAAACTCCAAAGGACTACATCATATAAACTAGTATACACAATATGTACAGACTACAACAATGTAATTCACTCTTTGAAACACCGAGGACTAAATTTAATCTTACAACTCCAATATGGTAGGGACAAGTCTTGGTAAAGCTGCCTTTAAATGTGAGCGGGTGATAAGGCCAACCATCTGGCCTAAGGCTTCCACAGAAGATACCCGAACCTAAATAAAATAAGAAAACAGTAAACAATGGGCAACAAATTTACTTTAGATCCAAAAGATAGGGTACAACATATTAGGACATTTAGAAATCATTATAATGTACTCATCAGTACTAGAGATAATTCCCATAAAAGGGCATTTGCTTAAAGAATTTTTATTCAGATAAATTTTAAGTGCCTCTTGGGATGAGCAGAGGAATTAGGAAACATACAGTGTAATCAAGTATGTGGAGAATTTCCAGAATCAAACAACAATAAGATCATAACTAAACAGTAATAATATCTATAATTTTTAGGTTTCTGTATATATAATTATATAAAGAAATATCTTGAATTAGCAGACCTTAAGATCTCGTGAAGCAGCCCAAACTCTCAATAAAAGTTCAAAAGCTGAATTTAAAAATGACCTGTAATAAAAACAACACTCATCTTTAGACATTACATTACTGAAATATGATACATATCAGCAAAATGAAACAAGTAAAATGTGTTTCACAGAATCTCACATGACATCACCATCAATGGGAGAGTCTGAAGGGAAATCAATGTTATATTGCCATACTGCTTGACACCAGCACTTGAAAGCTAATATAGCAGAAAGATTGTATCATCATGGGTTAGATAGCTATCATAAGAAGAAATGCATAATGCATGTGTAACATCTATCTAAAACAAAATCACCCAAAGAAGAAAAAAAAGTGAACATCAAACACAGTTTTTGTACGTGGGGAAACATAGGAAGAGGAAAATCAACACAAAGAAAGTAACATAAATGAAAAAAACTTGTTAAAAGAGAAAGAGGTCAAAACTCAAGATACATTTTTATATCTTTCACCAGCTACACTCCCATATCAGAGCAGAAATTCCGATAAAAATAAACCATTAACAATTTCAAATGTTGAAGAAGGTTCTGAAGTCAAGCAACATAGGAGGAAACTTCAATCGATAATGAAAGATATAAAAATATATTCTAACCTGAACTCTAGCATACTAACTTAAAGAAAAGAAAAAGAAATACAAGCAAAGATTGAAACATAAACGCATTGAGATTAATGAGGCCACGCCATGCTCCTAGCCTTATTAAACTACTTAACAATTAGAAAGATAGTGAGAGCACATACATACCATTTGCAAAAATTGGCCGGTGGGAATCTCTTCCATTTCCAATGATAGGTAGAACTCGTGAAAGTACACCTTTCAAACGTGGAGTAAACTGAAAAGCTTGATTGTATAGAATGAAACGGAAGTACAAAAATATTTCGTCAAACAAAGAAATTGCAACAACGCAATAGATAATTGAAGTTCAAAAAGCAAAAAGAATCAAAGGAAAGTGATTAACCATCAGCAGAAGCAAAGTCAGCAAGTATTTGAACCATAGCTGGCAAACCTGAGCTTGGTCCTGACAAATGAAGAAATATTTCTTCCATCATCTGCCAGATCAGGTTAAGCCATAATTAATGACTAACTATAGATAGTTTAAGCAATGAACTTGATAAGAAAAAAAACAGAAAAGGAGATAATAAGGAAATACTTTTATTCTGACAAACTTACAAGTAGATAGAGAAAAAAATGAAAAGCTACAAAGCAAACTGCAAGCAACAAACTTACAAGGTCAGGCAGATGTGAGCCTATAGAAACAAGTAGACCTGCTGCTGCTCTTTGCCAATCTGCGTTGAGTTCCTATATAAAAATAAGCAAGACAAGAAAAAATCATAATCAATGAACAACTAATTGCCTTGGATTGATAAACCACCCAAAAAAGCCAATACAAAGTAATATTTTATTTTCCAAGGACTGAGGAGACACCATGATGGTTAGAGCTTGAGACTTCTGGAGGACTCAAGTTACAGTCACTGAGAACACTGTCATTTAGACGCTTACTGAAGGAGAACCTTTGATGCAAGCAGTAGGAAAAACAATAAAAAATGCCCATGTTACCCAAAGTCGAGGGTAAGTATCAAATACTGGTTCATCCAAATACATGCATGCTCATTTTTTTTGAAGTTATTCCATGTCTTTGGATGATCATACCCCTTTATCCACTTTGTATATACGTCGAACACAAGTACTTTATTGGGTGGAATGAAAAAGACCTTGCTTGGTTATTTTTCTTCTCATCATACTACAAGAATTTAAAGCCACATAACCAATCCAAAGATGCAAACAGTCATAAGACCATATATGAACAGCAGGGAACCTAATTAGCCCCAAATTCCTATAGGTGGACATGTGCCTTATAGTTATAATTTTCATGTTGTTAACTCTTATGCAACAAAAGAACCAAGAAACGAATATACACACCTTGGAAGAGATAATCTCGGCAGTGGCAATTTTGGCAAGCTTGGCAATATAAGAAGCATCAATGTCCTTTTTATCTAGAGCTCGAACTCCAAATGCCATCACTTGAAAAACTCCAGCCATATTACCAAACCTCTAAAAATGAAGATCCCATAAATTTAATAATAAACGATTCAATCATAATCACACTCCAGTATTCTAAATCAAAATAGAAGAAAAATAAAAATTACCCGACGGCCACCTCTAGAAATAGCAGAACAACAGTCAAGGACGAGGAGAGGATTCCTAATAAAGTAATCAAAATATCAAATTAAGATTAAAAAAGAATAAAAAAAACTGAATTATATAAACATTGTTTCAAAAGAAAAGGAAAAAAAGTACAGTGGAGAAATATCTTTAAGAGAAGCCATGGAGGCTTCTCTAACCATCGGTGATTCATCCGCTAGCGATGAGATGAGAACTTGAACGGCCTCTGCTTTTGGAAACAAACAATACAAATCAAAACAGTTTTTACGAGCAAAACGATAGTGGTAATCAAATAGCGGGAATTGAATATACCTGGAGCGGGAATTGAGCTCCCAAAGGAACTCGAAGAAGCCATTGAAAATCAAGATAATTGTGAATGAAGCATCAAAATGGGAGGAAATGGAAATCCCAGTAAATGGAAATGAATTTTGAGAAACAATGAAGGTGACGACGAGACCGGAGGGTGACAGACAGGCTGGTCGTTAAGGCCTTTTTTTTTTGTTCTATTTTAATAATTCATCGAGATTTGGTTCCATTTCTATGTCGATTTATTTATCAGAAAAAATATATTATAGGTCACTATATTATACTCAAATAATCATTTTAGTCATTAAACTTTAAAATATTATAAAATAATTATTAAATTTATTGAGTTATTATAAAATAAACACTGACACTTTATAATAATTGTAAATTTTGATAAAATTAAATTCCTTTTTAAATTGCTCAACAAATATAATGACTATCTTATAACTTTTGAAAGTTTGATGAGTAAAATAATTATTGAATATAGTTTAGTGACTCTGGTATAATTTAACTTTGTTTATTTTGTTTCATCTGCTTACTTCTTCTGCTTGGGATTTTAATCACCAATCGGATCCAAACATGATTCCAACCAACAAAGTTCATTGATACAATTAGGGTTGTAAATGAGACGAGCCAGATCGCGAGTTACTCAAGATCAATTCGATCAAAATTTGATAAATACTTGACTCGAATAGCCTCGACTCGAGCTCGAACTTAACTCGAGTTCTTAATGAACCGAAATGAGCTACTTTATACTCGACTCGAAAAGCTCACGAGCTACTCGAAAAAATAATATACTAAAATTTTAATTAAAAAAATAAATTATTAATAATATTAATATTTATGTGTTGATTTTTTAAAAAAAAAAATAAAGTATAAATGTATTTAAGATTCAAGTTCGAATTCGAGTTTGAGCTTTAACCGGGTTAAGTTTAAGATTTTTTTCCGAGCTTCAGTTCATGATTTCGAGTTCAAGTTGAGCTTAAAAATTTTGGGCTCACAAGTTCATATTGTAGCATTTTAGAGCTTTCGAATCGAGTCGAACTCAACAATACTCAAACTCAACTCGACTCGTTTACAACCCTAGATACGTAAAAATCATTAATGACATATGATATTTCAAATTGGTAAAATATGTACAAAATCAACTATAAATTTCTAAAATGACCTTACTATATGTATTTCTTTTTATTTTTAAGAAAGGACATTATATTTTTGGCAAAATGGCATAGTAAATGATGTGAGAAAAAAATCTCAATATAATCCAACATAAAACATAAGGATTATTTTCTAATTTAAGGTGAATTGCATAGTACTAACCCAAAGGCGCCAGGTGTTCCATGCGTCTTCAAGTAAAATATAAAGGTTCTACGACTGCATGACGTCTTCAGAAAAATGAAAAAGACTCCACAACTGTGGCGTCTTTAGGCAAATGGATAAGACCTCATGAGTGCACGACGTCTTCAGACTAATAAGAAACTCTAATTCAAGAAATAATATGATGAATGTCTTATATAGGAAAATCATTTTTCTCACCACCCTATATGAGCGAAGAAGCCCTATATTTTTATTAGTTAAAATGGTATAGTCCAAAACATCTATCGAGTTACAAATCATAAACAAAATAAAAGAATTATAGACTGGTGGAGGTCTTTTGAGCAAGGGCAGACGCAATAACATTGGTAAATGGACCAACATATCTTACTGACGCAATTTTATGTTAGAAGGGAAATTCATAAAATTATAAATATGAGAGAATTTATAAAATTTTAGAGGGACAAAAATATATTTTCAATAAAATATAGAAAATATATAAGAATTTAAAATTTTTAGAGGGAACGAATGGACATATCATATCAAACTTAGTAGGCGACGTGCTTCCTCGAGATAAAAGCTTGCCACATATAGATAGAGACGCCGATTAATCAACTGATCTACGACATTGGCGGCATCACTCTCCAGAACACACACTTGGCCAAGCTAATTCAATTGCTAATCGTAGCCACTGGGTGATAGCATGAGCCTCAACGATGTTCGACTCGAGCAAATGAGTGAGCGTCTGTCCTTGGCCAGCAACTACTAGCCCCTTGGAATCCCGAGCTAAGATCCTGATTGTCGCAATCCCCAACTCGATATTACCTTAAGCGTGACAGGTGGTGGCTTGCTCCAGTGTTGGGAAGGAACAACAACCGACAAATATGGTTCAGATGAAGCTGCAGCATGTGCGACCCAGAGCCGTGGCTAGGTTTTCGGAGGCCTATACAAATTCTTATAAAGGGCCCCTATTTTCTAGATATATTCGATTTTGGGCCAATAATAGTGGCGTTTGTTTGATAAACGCCGCAATAGGTCCATCTATAGTGGCGTTTTTTCAATAAAGCTGCAACAATAGTGACGATTTTTAAAAAAACACCGCAATAGGTCCATCTATAGTGGCGTTTATTGGAAAAAAGTCACTATAGATATACTTTTTGGGGCACCTATTTTCTGGGGGCCCTGCGCCGTCGCACGCCGGCCCAGCCACGGCTCTGGTGCGACCCTCATGCCAAATAACATAAAGAACAATCTCCTGCCTGGATCTACATAATCGACAACAACCATCAGTCACACTGGCCACCGACCAGGAGGGCCTCGTGAGCAACCCTCCATCCAAACAATCGAAAGAGTAGGCAGTTTGGAGAAGAACAACCAAAGCCGTGATACAACATTGGAGACCCGGTGTTGATGCATGAGCCAAAGATAGTCGGAACGCACTTTGTAGACCCCCGATGAGTGGTTGCTCCATACCAAAACATCATCTTTGACTGGGGAAACCAAGCAACGACCTTCATTCCACAATGGGACTTCGCTGACAACAGACGCAAAATGTTAACCATTTGTTATCAATATAAATAGTTAATCCTCAAAGAATGATTTTCATTTTAAAGTGGTTCCTAAAATTTTAAATATTCCAATTTCATCCCAAAACTATGGCTATCGTTCTAAATTAGTCCTCAAACTTTTGAATATTTCAATTTCATCCCCAAACTATGACCTTCATTTTAAATTAGTCTTCAATTTTTTTGAACATTCTAATTTCATCCCAAACTCTATGTATATAATAATCATCTCCCGTGTTAATAAAATCGTTAGACCAAGTTATATTATTATATGTTTGAAAGAAAAAAAACAAAGTTTAGGTTAAACTATGGTGGAAAGTAATTACTTATTTGGATTAATATGGAGATAAAATTGGAATATTCAATAGTTTAAGGACCAATCTAAAATGGGGTTATAGTTTGGGGACATATGATGCAATTAACTCCAATAATAAAAATAAAATTGAAATAGTACTTGTTATAAGAGTGAAAAAAGATATAATAGCAAAAAAGCCCATAACATTTGTTTACCTTTTCAATTGCATCCTTAACATTGTCATGTGTCTTCTTAGAAAAAAATTTGATCATTAGTTGACTATCAATTGAGATTTTATTTGAAAAAAACAAACAAACCATAAGATTTAAATTATCAGATACAACTTTAGGGTGTAACTAACAAAAATTGGTAAAATTATATTCCCTTTTTACCATGATGCCTATAGATTATATTTTATTGAATGTAATTTTGTTCTCTTTTATGCAAATTTAATTATTGGTCTTCAGTTTATTGATCGATTAATTTAAATTGAGTACTATAGGGATCCGATATGGGGTAATCATCTCAATTCAATTTGCTCAATATACAACATCTTGATTCAAACCATTCATTTTCTTAAAGAATGTAGTGCACAACTTATGTACATTTGGTATCCAAATTTGACAATTTTTTTTTTCTGTTTTGGGGTCCTATTTGGTACACGAATTTAACTGTTTTATCCAAATTCAGGTATCAAATGTGTAACATTTATCAAATTTAGGTACCAAATTGAATAAAAAAAATACAGTTACTGCATTATGAAAAAAATGTCAAATTCATGTACTAAATTGGAAAGAAAAACACAAATACCACATTAAAAATCAAAATCAGGTACTAAATGATGCATTAAATTATGTTTTTAAATCTATGATATTCGACAATATCCGGGAAGAAGCACGAATCGAATCATTATTCTAATATCAAGGTAAAGCTAATTAGATTTGCTTTTTCTGTTCTGTAATTAGCAATCATTTTATTATTGAGGAAACCAGCGTAGATGTTAGGCCTCTTTCATTTCTGATTTCTACACAGTGAGTTACTCAGATGATTTTTCAGCTGTAGGTATTAGTTGATCATGGCTTGAACTGAAGTTAGTTCCATAGGCTTGTAAAATTATTATCATTTCCTCTAGCAGCAGTTACTCAGATGATTCTGGAAATCAAAGTTTACTTTTTTCCATAAAGGAATTACTGGGTAACTCCTAACTTTGATTTGATGCTCATAATTTAAACAATAATTTTCAAATGTGGGGCTCCATAATTGTGATCCTGCTGAGATTATCCTCTGTGGAATCCAACTTTTACTTCGACAAAGTCCAAGTAAACACATCTGCCATGTGCAACAGCCAACAGATGATTGACCATTGAAGTTCATCTCATATCTGTTTTGAACAATCTGTTGCCGATGGATCATTGGTTTAATTTTCACAACATTTATCCTCTTAGTAAAATGGATATAAATGTCAATGGTGGGGCTCCATAATTGTGACCCTGCTGAGAGTATCCTCCGTACAATCCAGACTTCATTGAAAAGTCTCCCCTCCTATCATTTTCTTATACAAGAAATTAATGTTTTCTGAATATATAGATTGAATAAGATAAATGTCAAAGTTGGACAACTATTTATTTTGAACTCTACCTCTAGTTGATGTACAGAGCCTTCTCAAGTACATTATTGCTTCCTCAGTCCTCACCATTGTTTTCCAGAATTTATATCCTTTTTGATCCAAGTGCCTTGATCTCACTCTTTGGTATCATTAACATGGCTTATTTCCTCTCACTTCTCTCAACTCCCTTCTTCCTCATAGTCTCACCTTCTTCTTCACAACCCACCGAGTTCTTCTTCCCCGGATTCAGACAAACGACCCCAACAACTTAACACTAACAGGGGTGTCACAGATTGAACAAAATGGCATTTTACGCTTAACTAATTACACCCCTCGTTTAGTGGGTAAAGCTTTTTATAGCTCTGCATTTATATTCAAGAACTCTACTAATGGCCCATCCTTTTCATTTCCAACCTCGTTTGTTTTGGCCATAGTTCCCGAGTTTCGACTCTTTGGTGGTCACGGCATTGCTTTCACAATGACCACTTCTGTAGATCGCAGAGCACCTTCAAATCAGTATCTAGGAATCCTCACCGCGACCGATATGGGTAACTTCTCAAACCATCTTGTTGGACATAAAAAGCTTGCACTCAAATGCTTCAGTCTCTGCTGGTTACTACACCCAAGGTGGTTCCACAAAGCAAAATCTTACTCTCAAGAGTGGGAAACTAATCCAAGCTTGGATTGATTACGATTCAGTTGAAAATGTCATGAATGTAACGATTGCACCCACCTCTAAAAGACCGACATCTACCCTCTTGTCTTTAAATGTAGATCTTTCGCCGTTTCTTCACGAGTTTATGTACTTTGGTTTCTCAGCTTCAACAGGCCATGTGCTTTCTAGCTCCATTATGTTTTAGGGTGGAACTTTAAGATCAATGGACAAGCTCAGGCTCTTGATTTATCGTCTTTGCCTTCACTCCCTGGACCACCAAAAAAAGATAGAACGTTAGCAGTTGGTGTATCGGTTTCATCTGCTGTTGTCATAATTGCTCTTTCCATTGCAATTTATGTCATTATCAAGATCAAGAATGCAGAAGTAGTTGAAGTTTGGGAGCTGGAGATTGGCCCACAAAGATACTCTTACCGAGAACTCAAGCAAGCAACCAACAGTTTTAGCGACAAAACTTTACTTGGACGGGGTGGTTTCGGTAGAGTTTACAAAGGAAGACTTGGAAATTCAAACACTCAAGTTGCTGTCAAGAGAGTTTCCCATGATTCAAAGCAAGGTTTACGTGAATTTGTTTCGGAAATTTCTAGTATCGGAAGGCTTCGACATCGGAATTTGGTTCAGCTATTGGGATGGTGCAGGAGAAGAGGTGACCTTCTTGTTTATGATTTCATGGCTAATGGCAGTTTAGATAAGTTTTTGTTTGATGACCCTAAAACTACCTTGAATTGGGACCAGAGATATAGGATCATAAAGGACGTGGCTTCTGGTCTTCTCTATTTACATGAAGGGTATGAACAAATTGCGATTCATAGAGATGTTAAGGCCAGTAATGTATTATTAGATGATGAACTGAATGCACGGTTAGGAGATTTCGGCCTTGCAAGATTGTATGAACATGGTTCAAATCCAGGGACAAGTCGAATTGTAGGGACAATGGGATATATAGCACCGGAGCTGCCCAGGACAGGAAAGGCCACAACAAGCTCCGATGTCTATGCTTTTGGTGCACTCTTGCTCGAGGTTTCTTGTGGGCGCAGGCCTATTGATCTCGAAGCACTGCCCGAGGAATTAGTGTTGGTTGAATGGGTATGGGAGAAGTTTAGGCAAGGGAGGGTCCTTGATGTGGTAGATACTAGGCTCAATGGCCAATATGATGAAGGTGAGATGATGATGGTGCTTAAGTTAGGCCTAATTTGTTCAAATCACGTGCCTGTGGCACGGCCAAGCATGAGGAAGTAAGGTATCTTGATGGAGAGGTTGACTTCCAGAAAATTTGACGACACCGGCTGCATTTCATGGGGGCGCAGAGGGATTTGACGCCTTTGTTCCTCGTCCTCATCCTCATCCCCGTCATTGGATAATATGATTTCATATCCATTCTTGGAAAATGGTAATGCCGGTACTAGCTAGATTCACTTCTATTTCAAGCTCTCCACTTCCAGAGGACAAACTATATACTGTATTGTGTTTGAGACTTTGAGCTTGTATTATATGCAAAACTGTGCAAAAACCTAATCAAAGGGAATAAAAGAAAGCGATTTCTCTCACGAACATGATGTTTCAATGATATTTTTTCTGATCCAATATTTTTGGCCAAATATAATCAATCATAGTTCAAAGAAAAATATGAATTCAATTAAAATCAAATCATTAGAATCATTTCTAATTTTCTCAAATGTGTATTCAATGGCCCCAATGCAATCATAAGTTCTTGTTGCCCTAGGAGGAGGATGCTGATGGTGGTGACATTTTCTTTGACCGGAGCAAAGTAGAAGACGATGTCAGTGAGTATGGCAATACATTATTGTTTTTCAATCTACAATACTACAATTCCCGGAAGAACCACAAATCGAATCATTAATCTGATATCAAAGGTGAAGCTAATTAGATTTGCTTTGCTTTTTCTGTTTTGTAATTCACCATCATTGTATTATTAGGGAAACCACGGTAGATGCTGGGCATCTTTCTTTTATGATTTCTACACAGTGAGTTGTGAAGTAGCTTGAACTGAAGTTACTTCCTTAGGCTTGTAAAGTTATTATCAATTCCTCTGGCTGCAATTACTCAGATGACTTTGGAAATCAAAGTTTACCTTCTTCTCCATAAAGAAATGACTGGGTAACTCTTAACTTTGATTTGATTCTCATAATTGAAGCAATGCTTGTCAAATGTGGGACCTCATAATTAATGTTTAGTTGACAAGTCTCCCTCTATCATTTTTCTTATACAAGAAATTAATGTTCTCTTAATATATATAGATTGATTGATGTGAAACGTAGAAAGTGATGGGAAGTAGAGCAAGTATGACATGACTCGGTTATGGGGAAAAAATATCAACCATAGAAGCTAACCCCGAGTATACGCATTGAACTAAAGCGTGGAAAATGCAAATCATAGCCAGTACCCACATGACTTTGAAAGAAAACTTGGACCAATTGACGGGAGATAGAATAGGATAATATCAGAGTTTGAGAACTATTATTTCTTGTTGATGAACAAAGCCTTCTCAAATCTATAACCCCAAAATTTTCCTTCTCATAATTCATCATGTCATTGTTACCTTCAACTTTATCATGTATTTCTAGAAAGAAATATGATGTTTTCTTGAGTTTTAGAGGTGAAGATACCCGCAAAAACTTCACAGATCATCTCTATGATGCTCTAAATCGAAGTGGAATTATCACTTTCAGGGATGATCCAAAGATGGATGCCGGTGAAGAGATCGCACCACAACTCTTCCGAGCCATTCAACAATGGCATTTAAATAACAGGTAAACCATTTTTTTCTTTCCTGTTTTCTTGTTTAATTAATTTAATAATTATAAAAATGAACTGAATTTTATTTCTTTGCAGGCATGAATCAGATTTTATTGGAGATATTGTTAGAACAATATCAGCAAAATTATGTCAAACATATCCAATTGTTCATGATGAGTTGGTTGGAATTAGTTCACGCTTGGACGAGTTGCATTCCAAAATAGAGATTGGGGAAGATGACATCCGCATCGTAGGAATTTGCGGAATGGGTGGCATCGGTAAAACAACTCTCGCAAGAGTTGTTTACTACCAAATGTCATCTCATTTTGAAGGTAAATGCTTCATTGCCGACGTTCGAGAAGTTTCAGACAAATTTGGACTCGTTTCTCTACAGAAACAACTTCTTTTCCAGATCTTGTCTGGTGAAGTCTTCGAATTTTTCAATGTTCATGAAGGGAATGCCATAATTAGCCGCAGATTATCTAACAAAAAGGTCCTTTTTGTGATTGATGATGTGGATAATTTACAGCACTTGAAATGCTTGGTTGGAAGGCATAATTGGTTCGGTTTAGGAAGTAGAATCATTATAACAACAAGAGATGAACACTTGCTCCAATCTTACCGAGTAGATGGTGTGTATAAGCCTTCAACATTGAATGACAGCGAGGCACTTCAACTTTTCAGTTTGAAAGCTTTTGATAGTGAGACAGCACCAAATGATGTTTTCATTGAGCTTTCTGAACATGTTGCAAAATATGCCAGTGGTCTCCCCTTAGCTCTTGAAGTGTTGGGTTCTTTTTTGTGTGGTAGAGACGTAGCTCAATGGAGAAGTGCAATCCAAAGACTTGAAAAGGATTCTAACAAAGAAATTATTGACAGACTTCGAATTAGCTTTGATGGATTGGAAGAAACGGAGAAGAACATATTTCTAGATATAGCATGCTTCTTCAATGGGGACGAGAATGATTTTGTAATGAAAGTATTGGATGGCTGTGAGTTTTTCCCGGATATCGGAATCGATGTTCTCATTAAGAAGTCTCTACTAACAGTTGACGAAAACAACAAATTGTGGATGCATAACTTACTACAAGAAATGGGAAGAAAAATTGTTCGGGAAAAATCTATTGAGGAGCCTGGAAAACGTTGTAGATTGTGGGAGGAAAAGGATGTATATCATGTGCTAACGAAGAACACTGTAAGTCTTTCCATGGAAATTGCATATTATATGAATGTTAAAGACAGAAATGATACACACAATGTAATTTTTCACAAGTTTTATCACATAAATTGCCTCATTTTATTTTGTGTTTCTTATGTTACTTTTGAATTTTTTAGGCTACGGAAGCGATTCAAGGCATGATCATTGACAATAAAAGGTAGCAAAACGTACATAAACATGCATCCATGTGTAAATTTCAAATTCGGTCAAAAGTGACCCTTAAAGTTTTATTATATCACTGTACTCAAATTACACCATTCCTCGTTGAGTTATACTCTCTTTTTTATTTTACTCACTGTACTTTTAGTTTTTCTAATTTATTTTGAAAATCCTTGAAGAATCATCTCTATGTTTCTATTCGGATGTGTGGGATACGAGTGCTTGACGGAGCATAGATAAATTAAGTGTTGGAGCAGCCTTGCTTTTAGGTATGAAACGCTTTGTGATATTTTAAAATTTGAACTGAATTTTCGTTGTTTTACCCTTCGTTATCAGGATATCCAACAAGATGCTCAATTTGAATGTTAATGCTGTCTCAAAGATGAAAAAATTGAGATTGCTCAAAGTCCTTTGCCTCTCAAATTGTGATGAACTCAAATATCTTCCTAATGAGTTACGGCTCTTAGATTGGATGGGATATCCTTTAAGATTCTTACCTCCAAGCTTCCAACCAGACAACCTGGTTGCACTTCTGCTACCACACAGTCACATTGAACAACTATGGAAGGGAAATATAGTAAGAACTAATTCATATTATCATTGTTTTTTAACTTATTTTAGGAATATTAACTAAATCTTCTGAAATTTATTATTATTTTCAGCAGCCCCTGTATAAGTTGAAAGTGCTCAACCTCAAAGGGTCCGAAAACCTGATCAAGACACCGGACTTTACAACAGCCCCAAATCTGGAAATTTTGATATTGGAAGGTTGTACAAGAATAGTAGATGTTCATCCATCAGTCGGAGTTCTTTCGAGGCTTAAACTTCTGAATTTAAGAAGCTGCACAAGTCTTAGGAATCTTCCAACCAAAAGTGGAATAGAATCTCTTGAAACATTAATCCTAAAAGATTGTAGAAACCTTATTAGTCTCCCAAGCAGCATTGGTGGGTGTAAATGTCTAAAAACTCTTGATCTTTCAGGTTGCTATAAAGTTGAAAATTTGCCGGAGAATTTGCAGCAAGTAGAGTTGTTGGAAGAGATTGACTTAAGTGAAACAGCCATAGAAAAACCGCCATCCTTCATTTTTCAACTTAAAAATCTTAAAGTTTTGTCTTTGAATAGGCTCAAGACACCATCTAAGTTAGCCCCAAATCTACCTTCTCTTTTCCAGGTAATTCAAAGAGGACGGATCGAGTCTGTGCCTCTTATGTTACATTCACTGTCAGGTTTGATTTCATTAAGAGAGCTGAAACTAAGGAACTGCAATCTTCGAGATGGAGATATTCCAAGTGATATTTATTGTTTACACTATTTGGAAAAGCTTGAGCTTGGTGGTAACAATTTCATCAGCTTACCTGTGTCTGTTATTAGATTTCCAAGTCTTCAATATCTTGGAATGTCAAATTGCACGGAGCTTAAATCGATTCCTAGTCTTGGTGCTTCTCGAGAACTATTTGCAACTCCATCAAAGTTTTGCAATGCAGTGGAACAGTTTAATGGTCTTCACTGCTACAGATTGGTTGAGAATAGCAATGCATTAACAATACTGAAATACCGTCTTAAGGTCGATTTATCATTCTTTCGTATTTACAGAATCTCGTTTTTAAAGAATTATATTCTTAGTTACCAAGCAACATAAGTTTTATTTTGCAGCAAGTTGCATATTTAAGAAAAAGTTTTGATGCTGTTATACCTGGAGGTGAAATACCAAAATGGTTCAGGCATCAAACAGTTGACTCTTCAATCAAGATACCACTGCCTAACAATATTCAGAATGATAGTCAATGGATCGGAGTTGCTTTCTGCTGCATTTTTGTCAACGATGATGCTTCAAGGAATGAGGAACTCACATATGATGCTGTTATCCATCATAGGAATTCTGGACAAGCTGATTCTGATGGATCTGGTTTTCGGGATAGAAATCCTCGACGTGTCTCAGGGGATGGCTGGATTTTTTCTAAAGAATATAACCAGCCCATAATAAAGGACCACCTTTATTGTTGCTTTTTGTTCCGTGACAGATTATATCCATTTTCCTTGGAGGATAAATGTGGTGAAAGTGAAACTGAGAATTCATCAACATTGGGTTGCCCAAATCAGGAATTCGATGAACTCAAGTTTTCTGTCACATCCGATGATAGTCACATAAGTGTAAAGGTGAAGAAATGTGGGCTTCGAATAGTTTATCAGAAAGATTTGGAAGATATCAATGAAGATTCCGCCGCAGATGGATCAATAGCTGAAGGTCCCCTTATAAAGCGAAGACATAATGTTTATGAAGAGATTGAGGCCGAGCCACAACCAAAAAGGATACACAAGTTTTTCAATTTATGATGGGCCGACCGGGGAAGAAGGATTAGTTACTATTTGATTTTATTAAAGACTCACCGGCTGAAGATGAGGACAACACATTAAAGACTCCCTCTGAGAAAAGAAAAATGGAGAAGCAGAGGAAGACTGAACGAGCTAAGAAAGTACATCAGCTTGATTTGATTATTTTTGGTAATATCTCTTTGAAGATTTCATTCTAATGTGGCTTACTATTTGAGGTGGCAGAGGTTGAAAATTCGGATCTTCGAAAGGCACTACTCAGAGCCCTGGAAGAGCTATTTGATCGTCTTCACAAACAAAAGAGCTCTACGTTTCTAACAAGCCTTTCGTGGCTATTCGGGGGTTGCAATTGGATTATTACATGTGTGGTTAAATGGCCGATTGTGTGTCTTATCACTGCATCGTGATGAAGGGAAACAAGGTACGATACATTTGCAAGGTTCCAGAAAAGCTTGTAGATGACCAAAATGGCTTGTTCATGATAATTCATTTATTACAAGGTAAGTTGGATTGCACCACGAAAGAAAGAGGGTGAAACACTTGGTGCCTTCATCTCTGGTCTTGCCAATGCCATCTTCAAAGCTCCAATGCTTTTCTTTGATTCGCCTCCTGTTGGGATGATTCTAACCTGAGCAAGATCAAATTTATGTACCCTATGAGTTCTTTCCCGAGAAACTAAATTTCGTTTTATATAAACACTTGCAGGCTTCATCAAATACGAGTATTCTTGATTCCGACACCATTCGCCCTAGTCCTTGTAGCAGCAGGTGCAACTGAAGTCATGGATACAACAGGAATCATGGACTTCATTACACTGGCAAGTTTCCACGGCCTCCGTTGTTGCTATTTTCTTGAAATTTGCTTTGCTCAAATCTCATTTGCATCCTCACCCTCGACGTCCAACTATTATTATAATCTACAATTAACCTTCAAACTCTATAATTGTAAGTGCACCAGAGGAGTACATTGCGAGTCGTAATTTGCTTGAACATGTAATAGGTAGGAACAAAAGGGTTGAATCCATTGTAAGTGTATTCTCTATCCCGAGCATGACCAGCCTCCACTACTAAGCGACGACTACACTGCAAAATACTCTCCATCTCTAAAGATTCCGGTGCAAAAATAGAATGGTTTCGTCTTGTCCAAATGCTCCACAGAATGGACCCAAATAGCCAATCCCAATCATCCGAGTTCAAAGGAAAATAATCTGGCCGTGGAAGATTCACTTGAATCCAGTCCACGATGTTCATGCCGAAGAATTCAACAAGCCGGTCTGGTTTGATTAATTCCTGCCAAGCAGTATGCGCCACAATACACTCTCTAAAAACATGAGTTAACGATTCCTTTGCTGCACCACAGTAGAGGCAGCTTTCATCATTTGTCATGTGTCTTCCCATCCGTTCTTCATTTTTCACAATCCGACCCTTACAAATTAACCAAAGAAGGAGACGCACTCTTGGTAATCCCTGGAATTTTGCAATCGTGTTCCAAAGTTGATTCCCAGAAGTTCTGATTATTTCCATCCGACAATTGTAGGCGCTAGAGACAGAGAACTGACGATTATTTTCCCAAATCCACCATGGTTTCCAAAATTCACCAAGCAGCAAGTAGCAGTCTTATCAATATGAAGGCAATATATATATATATATATATATATATATATATACAATCAATAACTATCTCCAGTTGTTTTCTTCATCCAACCGGAGATGTTTAAGCAGCGAGAAGAATGAGAGCTCGCCAGTGGTAACTTGTCCGTAGCTTCTTGTACTTCTGCACAAAGGCCCCGATATCTATTTCCCCACAAAGAATCTGCCTGTTCACTATTTACGATTCCTCTTCTGTTGCATTCATTGCATCGACAAGTAAAACCATCTTTAAGTACTCGCATCTAAACCCCAGTAACGTAGGTAATATACAATTAATATGTGGCCATTCTGCAGGCCTCTGCGAGTTGATGCCGTTAGAAGCATTGCTACTCGGAGCTGCAGGCCTGGACGAATTAGGGGAGCCGACTACAGGAGGATACCAAGAGTGTGAAGAGCCCTCTTGCGGACGTGGCTGAGCTTGTTGCTCGTGTGAATTCCAGCAACATAGTTCTTGTGACAAAGGGCAATTTCTTGTGACAACTTCTCTATCTTCATGGTTGATAGACCACTGACAAGGAATTCCCATATGTTTTAAGCACTGACATCTTCTTTCCATGACTACTCTTATCTTCAAAGCGTAAGCCTCAAGTTCTGCCACATTGTGAGTGCAAAAGAGCTCTGGTCTATTTGTGAAAGGGTAACAAACGTTAACGCTGCCCCAATTTTTCTTCTCAAAGCATGGACTGTCCCATTAAAGCTTCCAGGATTCGTCACCTGCTTTAATTTCTTCTTCAGTAAAGATGTACAATAAATCCTTATTTGAAAAAATAAAAAACCCAGGGGCTCATAATCATCTGATGCCCGTTTTGCTAGAGAATCTATTATGGCATTCATTTTTATTATCCTTTGGCTCACAACGCCAAATTCTAATAACACTTGTTGTCTAGCTATTCTTCTGGTCAATGCTGGTGACTGTGTTAAGCACTTCAAAGTATCAAGTTTGGAGATCAATCGAGCAGTATAATATAACATGTACTGCCTGAACCTTCAAGTAGCCCATACCAAAGCACTTCATGCATCCTAGATTGGTAGGTATTGGATCTTGCAATCAATGACCTTTTCGCTCAAATAATAAATGGCTTGTCCATCATTCCAGACTCATCATGCAGTCCCACATATCTCAATGAATTTTCAAAGAATGTCAGAGAGGAGATTTATGATCTATCAGAAACTTGTGCACTACTATATTTGTATTCACTGTCATGTTTTGATAAGATCGAGAAAATATGCCTTTGGAATCTTGAAGCAACTCTATCAGCTTTTGTCTCGTTTCATGTCACAAAGTAGTGTCAATCTCGGTATCTTCATGGTGAAATAAGATATGTTTGTCCTCCTTTGTCACCAGCCTTAATAGTTATTCAGAAACGTCACATTCTACCTCATTTTTGCACAACTATATTTCTACTAAACACAGGCCGCTCAAAATTTATCTCATGATTAAAGGACAAAAACATTTATGTTATTAATGATTAGGGCACCTGCAAAGAAAATTTAGAACGAATATATACATTTGAAAGAGTAATAAACATTTGTATGGAATGAATGAAATAATAATAAAATATCAAAAATGAAATAAAAGAATATAATAAATGATAAAGAATATGAAAATGTATAAAACGATTGCCATTTGAGAAATGAAGGAAAACATCTTCAATTGCAGAACTGTGCAAACAAAGGGAATAAAAGAAAGCGATTTCTCTCACGAGCATGATGTTTCAATGATATTTTTTCTGATCCAATATTTTTGGCCAAATATAATCAATCATAATTCAAAGAAAAATATAAATTCAATTAAAAACAAATCATTAGAATCATTTCTAATTTTCTCAAATGTGTATTCAATGGCCGCAATGCAATCATAAGTTCTTGTTGCCCTAGGAGGAGGATGCTGATGGTGGTGACATTTTCTTTGACAGAAGCAAAGTAGAAGACGATGGCAGTGAGTATGGCAATACATTATTGTTTTTAAATCTACAATACTACAATTCCGGGAAGAACCACAAATCGAATCATTAATCTGATATCAAAGGTAAAGCTAATTAGTTTTGCTTTGCTTTTACTGTTTTGTAATTCACCATCATTGTATTATTAGTGAAACCACGGTAGATGCTGGGCATCTTTCTTTTATGATTTCTACACAGTGAGTTGTGAAGTAGCTTCGAAATTTAAGTGAAAATTTGATTTGAATTTCAACCATTTTGAAGGTTTTAATTATGTTTTTTCAGCTGTAGGTACTGGTTGAACATGGCTTGAACTGAAGTTACTTCCTTAGGCTTGTAAAGTTATTATCCATTCCACTGGCTGCAATTACTCGGATGACTTTGGAAATCAAAGTTTACCTTCTTCTCCATAAATAAATGACTGGGTAACTCTTAACTTTGATTTGATTCTCATAATTGAAGCAATGCTTGTCAAATGTGGGACTTCATAATTAATGTTTAATTGACAAGTCTCCCTCTATCATTTTTCTTATACAAGAAATTAATGTTCTCTTAATATATATAGAATGATTGATGTGAAACGTAGAAAGTGATGGGAAGTAGAGCAAGTATGACATGACTCGGTTATGGGGAAAAAATATCAACCATAGAAGCTAGCCCCGAGTATACGCATTGAACTAAAGCGTGAAAAATGCAAATCATAGCCAGTAGCCACATGACTTTGAAAGAAAACTTGGACCAATTGATGGGACATAGAATAGGATAATATCAAAGCTTGAGAACTAATATTTCTTGTTGATGAACAAAGCCTTCTCAAATACAAATCAAACTCAAATCTATAACCCCAAAATTTTCTTCTCATAATTCATCATGTCATTGTTACCTTCAACTTTTTCATGTATTTCTAGAAAGAAATACGATATTTTCTTGAGTTTTAGAGGTGAAGATACCCGCAAAAACTTCACATATCATCTTTATGATGCTCTAAATTGAAGTGTGATAAGTGCTTAATTTAGTTAATATTTTGCTTTTAAATTACTCCTTAATCATTGGTTTTTGTGGCTTATTTGTTCGTTTTGATTCATTTTCTGTGCAGAACGTTAGATTTTAGAAATTGCATTAAAAGGACAGAATTATGCATATTTTTTTATTTTCGGAATCGAAGCTGGATTAGTGGCATGAATTCAGACATGAAACATCCGACGAGGCGATGACATCAACACCTTCTAGAAGATCCAGTCAGCGTTTCTAGAAACACGAATGGTTTGGCTGCACGTTTCTGCAATTCGAATTTGAATTAAACTCAAGTTTTAGGATAATATTTTTTATCTTTGTTTTAGGTATTTTAGTTTAAATAGGTTTTAGTATTTTAATTAAGTTGTAGGATAATATTTTAAATATTATATTTTATCTTTGTATTTTAATTTAAATAGGTTTTAGTATTTTAATTAGGATTTAGGATATTATTTTAAATAGTATTTTATTTTATATTTGTTTTAGGTATTTTAGTTTAAATAGTTTTAAGAGTTTTAATTAGGATTTAAGTTATTATTTTAGGAATTATTTTTAGCTTGTTTTTAGGAATTTGAAGGCTTCTAATACCCTCTAAGAGTGAGCCTAGAAACATATATCTCTCATCTGAGAATTAAATCATCTTTTTCTCTCTATTTTGCCGAACTTCTCCTATTTTCTTTT